AATTGAAGCGCGAAACACGTGAGAACGCAAAGCCAGCTAAATTTTATTCGCTGTCGTACGTTCTTCGCGACCAGTGTATAGGTGGTATAGGCGTGCTCTGGAGGTTTCGGTGAAGCGTCATCACGAATGGTGTGGCCGTCTTCGCGTGCGCAATCTTCGCCTGCACCAAGGCCGTGTGGTTAGCGCCTGCGGGTGCTTTACCTACAAATGGTAACTCAATTGAGCTCAGATTCTGACAGCTGTGCATAAAAAAAAAGGAGGAAATACAGTCAATCGGACGAGATCTAAAAGTGGGGAAAATTGCGTTCGCTCAGTGAATACATTTCGTTCCTTCTGCACTGCACTGTCTAGGACGTCCGCGAAAAGCACGACACCGCAAAGGCAGAATTTTTTTTTCTTTCCCGAAATGGGGGGGGGGGGGGGCACCTTCCTGATCTGAAGTGGGGGCCGGGCAGGCGAAGGGTCATTTTGCGCCATGTATAACATGGCGGGAAAAAAGTCTGCAGGGGGAATGGGGGAGGGCACGGTGTGCTGTTTCCTGGCTACGCCACTGCTGGGAATCTTCGGGTACAAGCTGTTGATCTGTCCATATATGAGGGTGCGAATGGTGTCCCAGCATCTGTCCTATTTCGTCTTGCTCAACCATCGTGCTCGATCAACTGATTTCACTTCGTTTAGGGCGTTTTCGACTGCGCAAACGGAGATAACGGCGCGTATTTGAGAAACGTGATGTCTGGACAAGCCCAACGCTTAGTGCAGAGACCACGAGTTTTATGCGGCAGAGATGGCGAAGACGAGTAGAAATCAGTGGCAGAGACCGCCAAATGGAGCGGAGACGTCGCCGCGTGGGCAATGGCTGAAACGCGCCTAGTGTGGATTGCTCCCTGCGTCGTCTGCCAGCCACATAAGGCTATAGCAAGTGCACGACGTCATGCACCACCTCACAGAGCGGTTGATACCGCTCAGTTAGCCCGAGTTTAACGGCTTGTTTGCCTAGCACGATCTACAGACACATTTGGCCTTACTCGGCTGTATATGCACTGCAATAAGATCAGTTCTTGCACTTACCGAGTGTGCTATGTATCATGGTCGTTCGTCAAGATCATTTCGGCGTAGATGCCGCTCTTTAGTTGAAGCACACCATAAAGTGCACTTGGAGTCGTCCCACACACGAGGAGTGTTGAACATTATGTGAATGCAGCTTTTTGGCGACTCCGTGGTGAACGAAGTTGTACATATTGTTTTCAGGTGTCCGACTGGGCCACTTTCACTTATCAGACGAGCTTTAGTGGTGTTTGGCATAACCTTTTGTTGTGCGTTTCTGGTTCCACTACAGCGAAATATTTCTGTCTTCGAACACGACGGTACATAAATTGTGTCCCTTAAAAAATGTGGCTGATCCCTCTTTTTAGGAATCGGTTCAACACGAAAGTGAAACTTGCCTTCACAGAGGTAGTTGAGCGTTAGTTGTCCTTTGTTTCGCCACAAAAGCGAAGAACAGTAAGCAGCTTGAAACTTGCAGCGCGCACCTTGATCAAGCAGAAAGCGCGCACGAAATGAGCATACACAGGACGAGTGCACACAAATAACTGTCACAGCTCGACACTTATAGCACACTGCTCAAACTGAAAGAAAGATGCAGAAAAAGAACGCGAGAATACACACAGGACGAGCGCGAACTGTTATAATGCTCACTTCTTAGTGTGTGAGCAGCGCGCCCATTTCGCAACGCGGCCGCGTCAGCGAGAGAAAAACAAATTGCGGTGCTGAATACCAAGATCAGCGCGCACGGCAGAGCGATTGCGCACTTTAACCACACCATTTGGAGGCGCGCGCATAGCAATGACTTTTGCATCGAGCGGGGTGCCGCAGGTCAACGACCTTTTTAGCGAGCGCGCCCGACGCATCTCGCCACTGATTATGAAAACTCGCTGAAATTGCCGATTTCTCAGCACCACCAACGATACCTGGTGAATATTAATGACTCATCGTTATCAACCTCCATAACGCTTTATGGCTTAGTGGTTCACGTTGCACGCTGAGGAGCAAGAGGTCGATGTTTCAATGGCCTGCTACAAAATATTGTTTCTCGTTTTTCTTAGCAGTCTGTTAAGGATATGACGTTTAGAACGTCATATCCGTGACCGAAATACGTCAGCGGATCCGTGGTGAACGCCAGTATAAAACACTCTCACGTTAAAAGAACAGAAAATAGAAGAAGACAGACGTGATTAAACTTGAGTCACTGTGCGCAATTTGAACATAGGGCACAGCCGCGTGTTAGATCCAGACGGTGTGCCCCTCACTTGTGTCGTATAGTTTTACGCGAAACGTCTTTTTTTCACACTATCTTGAGCACTTTTACTGGTGAAAGTAGCAAAAATTATTCGCTTGAAAAAAAAAAAACTCTCCCTTAAAATAACCGCACCTACTGTCATGTAGATAATCAGTCGATTAAAGCCGCCTATTACCTTTTTATACTGTTATTGGAGTAATAAGCGTGCTAAAACGCTGTCAGCCACGCTTTCCTGAATAAAAGTATCAACTGTCCTACCATCACTTCATGGAACACTGAATAACGAAGAATCCGGATGCGTATTCGCGGTTATCTTAGCGCATTAGTCAATTATATTGGACTTCTTTTTTTCTCTCTCTCTCTCTTTTTTAGATGCAAAGTATCTTATGCTCGAGTTCAACCGGTGCACCTGAGTGTGATCACCCTGCCCATGCGCCCCCCCCCTACCCTCTCTCGCCTCGCAATGCCGACGCAGACAGCGTCTGCTAGTGATTAAAAAAAAAATAGACTGCTTGCTCTGCACAACCGCTGACTGGCTAGCCCATATAACCTACAAATAAAAATACAAGAAGTGTGGCATAGTGCGAAAACGCCGGCAGTCGCAGTGCACGATCCCTTTCAATGGCGAATTGCGCTGCTCTCACAAATAATATACGTTTGGTGTGCTTCGTGCGTCTTTTCGGCAATCAACAACATTCATATATTACGAGTAGGTTGCTGCCAACGCATTGCGTTCACCGACAATCGGATCACATTTAGCTCGCAAAAAAGCGCCGCTGCGCTAGTTTGTATATGCGCGCCGCCGGCTGCTTATCTACACTAGCGCAGTGATGGTGCTGCCACCTGTAGCCCGATCTCTGGACCATCGCAGAGGCGTGAGAGGACCCGCTCTCGTTCTCCATCTCTGTTATGAACTCGGAGTGGTCCATTAACATGCAATGAAACAATTTTAATGTTTAAAAAGTTATACCTGTGCTCACATAGTGCCTGAATTTAGAGAAAGGGTGATACTAATAAACTAGGTGCTGCGGAGTTTCCTAGGTTCACACAAACACACAATGCACACGCACAAAGAGGGCCCTTGCTCCCATCAAGCCATACCAGCACATGCCCTCCCCCAGGCTAAGCGGTGCCCCCCCCCCCCCCTTCTTCCGCAAAGCACCTCCACCCCCCAAAAGAAACTCCCCAAAAGAAAATCCTGCCGGCGACCATGGAAGAGAGACTATCGTCCTTAAGATCAAATTGTCGCAGAAGCCGCTGAACAATATAGGGTTAAAACCGTCAATTTTAGAAAACTCCAGCGGGGTCTATAGGTTTAGCATACTAAATATGTCTAGCCACCAAAACTATCACGCAAGTTTTAACCCAATTTATTTTATGGTGCACCTTAAATAAACAGTGTAGTTTATCCGTGAAGTTATACCATTCATTTAGCCAGAGAAAACAAGCATCGGAAATTACTTGCTTTTGTCATGAGCATAAACTATCCACCTTTGAAGCGGCCACAACTTATTTAGCACGTTTCTGAAGACTGGCGATCTCAACCTGAGAACGATCGAAAGCTGGCTTCTGGTTGTTGACGACACTAGAGGTGTAGCCAGAAATTTTTTTCCACGTGGGAGGGGGGATGGGTAGCAGCGTCTTTTTTTTTCTATGAGATGTGATCGATAATAAATGTTTGTAGCTTAAGCAGACTTCATACATGTACGCACATGAAAAACATGGGACACCCCTCCCCCCACGTGTGTTTGTGAAGAAAGTAAGTAAAAAGTATGGTAAGTGCAGTAAATACCGTGGCACTTATTTTGGTGCATTAGTGGCCCTTTCTTTCACAAGACTTGCTCGTAAAACACAATCTTTCCAAGCTGTGCTGTTCTATTTGCTGATAACACAAAATATGGAGAAGTTACATATGCATGCTGACAAACGAGTAATTATCACACCGTTCATGCTGCCCGCGATCTAGGTTATAATTCTGGTGGACAGAGCGTGTTTTCATGTAAACTTGAAAAAAAAAAAGAACATTTTGCGACATAATGAAGCTGACTGTTAACTTTATCCAGATACGACAATCTGAAGCTTGACTGGTACATAATCTATAATCTCTATTCATTCAATTTGCTCTGCAGCGTCAAGAAAAACTTCGTCAATGTCTAGCGTTCCTACTGACTTGTTGGCTGAACTGTTCCTAAATTACTCGTTTCTGGCAAGATCTCAACTCAACATATTCTATATGCATAATGCACTCATTTCACAATCATTTATTCTTTTATTTTCACCTTAATTGTAGCATTAGGCCCACGCAAAGGCTAAAAGTGTGTCTCTCTGGGCTTCCTTATTCAAAATAATATTCTGTTTTAGTAATAAAAACTCTTCTCATAATATTGCTTTTGTTCTGTTTAGCTACAAATTTGGCGATAAAAGTAAGTGAGATGGCTACTGTGGCTACCTTCAGCTCGAGTTATGGGTATACAGTTCGAATCTGCCATACGGCAACCCTGCTTCCCAGATTTCACATCAATGGATCTAGAATAGCCTACCCTACACGCCTTACTCCTTTTCCCCCCCTCACCCCCCTTTTTTTCGAACCCTCTGATGGCAGCATTATTATGGCTGTGTTTTCAGATCACAGCAGGTCTGCAGTAAACGATGGGACAGTGAGACGTCAAAATAACTGTAAGAAAGGACACAAACTCAACACAGGTAACGATAAGTCTTTGTATTTCACAAAGGAGCGCCATTATAATCCTGAGTTTTTTTTTACAGGTCAGATGTTGATTTCCAAGGCCAGTTTGTGAAGTACGGCTAACAAGACAGCACAATGCATTAGCAGCGCTCTGCAGACTTCGGACCTAACGACTTTTACAGGTGTGCGTTTTCTTTTCGCATTGGCTTCGGACAAGTTTGCTTAAGTACTATACAACTCGAAGTGGCCACCGAACTTTGCTCCAGCGGCACACATCTGACAAGGTAATTGCTACACATGCAATGCTAGTCTCTTTCGGAGACTCACCTAGGCACGATACTCGCAACCTAAAAGGACGAACCTAAGAAATGTACAGGCCTATATTACAAGCGCGATATTGAGACCTCTTGCGACATGGTCTCCGTAGAGTCCTTTTGGCCGACGTTACGGTCACTTTGGCGGTACAGTACGTGGCAGTTGGGTCTCGCACAACAGTCACCGGTCACCACGACTTGTCTCGTTCTCGCCGCGCAGCCGTCGACGAGTAGCAGTTGCAGACACTGACTATATATATATGTATATATATATATATATATAACATGGATGCACACACGCGCACACACATAGCAACGACACGTACACGCACGCACACACACGAATGAAAAGATGTCTTTGCAAGTCATGGCAAAAAAGTTCCCTGCACTTCACGAAAGCAGAGTATCTTGACCGTGGGCACTATCGCAGCCGGTCTTTGTCTATTTTCTGTCCCTCAAGGTATATGGGCGTCACTTTGGCTGGCTTGAAAGACCTGGGCAGGAAAACAAAGGCATACAATTAAACAATGACGTTTCAGCATTCATGCTTCAATGAATGCTGATCATTCGATAGTATTGATGTTGGCCTGCCGCTCTTCGAAAGATTTCAGCGCCGAACGTGATTTTGCACGGCCTACAAGATTGGTGGCACCTCCACTCATTATGCAATGCCTCCGTGACTGGACCACTTTTGATTAAGCTACGACGCGACAACGTCATCGCGTGACATCACTCTGACAACACAAATTTCGGTGATCTGTGACGTGATCTCGTGATGATGATTTTTTGCATCCCTCATCCCCGAAGGTGCGGGCCGCAAAACTCCTTTCACTACAGAACATTTATGCTCACAGTCAAATTTTGCATTTGATGACGCATCTAAGGCTTTTGCCTTATGATGCACATCTTACCAAGGCTTGCATGCCAAAAGACCCAGCTATTCCTATGCTAATACAGTAGGCTTTCATTAAAGGGGCCCTGCAACATTTTTTACCATGATCAGAAAACGCTGCCGATCAGTAGTAGAGGCTGCCGAGAACACGCGAACCAAATGTTATAGCGCAGCACTTAACCTGAAATTCACAATAAATTATCAAAGTCAGCTAAATATTGCTTTCTCTTCCCTGGACAAATAACAAAAGACGCTCAAAAATAACTCATAGAATGCCCACTTATCAGCCATTGGCTGATTTGAACATGCCATGCTTGGTCGTTACAGAGATCGCCGCCGGAGGCTGTTACTTGTTCGCGCGTGCCATCGCCCTGAAAAAGCAGCATATTAAAAAAAAAGTGCTGAAGGTCACGAGGCGCGCGTGACGTATTTTGTTTGACCCTCCCATCTCCCCTTTTAGCTTCCAGTGCTTTTGTCAGGACGAGAGAAGAGAGAATGTGATTGCAGCGTGTGACAAATCTTTGTAACTCCGCCCGTACTAGATGGATTCTTGAAGCTTTTGCGACGGAGAATTCGTGAGGCAATAAGCTCTTCCAGTGAATTAATTCCATGGTTTTTCAAAAAGTGTTTCAGAACTCCTTCAAATAAAACCTGGAGGAACCAGGAAAATTTGTTCCATTTAGCAGGAGTTCTGTTTACTGGAGATGACCCTAGGGGTGCAGAATACAAGAAGCAAGCCAATCTTGTCAAAAGCACTATTTAAGCAGCAGTTCTGTTAAAGATATTTGCTTTTACAGAGAGTCTACTGTAATAAATGGCCTCATGCATCATGTATCACTTCATCTCATACCTCGATATAATAAAATATAAAGAAATACTGGTTATAACGAAAGAAATGAAAAGTAGTCTTGCAATAAATACAGTGTTAGAAACATACCGTTATAAGGAATTTTTGGATTTAAGGGACTTATTTACAAGTACAATGCAACTTTGTTATAATGCGGTTTGGGTGTATTGGGAAACAAACAAGCACTCACGAGTAGGTAGAGTTTGGCACGCCAACAACAAGCAAATGGTTTCCCTTCATAAATAGGCGCCACATACTCTGCAAAAGACAAAATCGCATTTGAGGAATGGGCGAGGGTTGCCATTTGCAACAGTGAAAAAGGTAAGATTAAGTGAAATTTTTTTACCTTGTGGTAACCCCTGGGATCGAGGTCCCATATCTTGAAGCACTGCGAGAGAAGAAAACGTTACTTCACACGAAAACTGCCACCGTTTACAAACTCTAGAAGAGGTAAGGCAATTAAATTGTTCTTTCATTTGCTGATGCAGTATGCGGTGTTGATGAAGTGTTAGCGATGCCAAAAAGATTCCTGTAGTATTTAGATATAGGTATGTATGAGAAACATCAGGTAATTGACACTAATGTCATCAATTGCAACATGACATGCCTCATAATCAGTTGTTGGCTTTGGATAGGCTTGTGCGGATAGTGAATTTCAGGTTCAAAGTGAATATTGATTTTGCTTGAATAATTTTGAATTGCATTCAAATAGTGTATATCACATGTTACAAAAATATAGGCATATTTGACATGACCTAACTAACCTGCACAATATCGATATTTCTTAAAATTGAGACAAGGCCTGCGCAAATGCCTTTTTTTTTTTCAAAGGAAGTGGAAACAACTTTGAGTAGGAGCAGGGTTTAACTTTTGGTAGAATGCAAATAATACCCTGTAAAATTTGTTATGTTTCAATATTTAGTATACCTCGAGCATATAAACGTCAAAAATGATGAATCGATGTGAGGGTGATATGCTCATTTACTTTGAAGTGTGTCTTTGCAGCAGTGCACATTTCCAATAAATAGGTGTTTACACAGCTTAGAGCCCCTTTATTGCAGTGAAACCACCTTTGCAAGATACTACATGCAGATTAATATACATTTGAATAGGTGATTTGATAGCTTAGCACCTCTCCTCTGCAGTTAAACCACCTTTGCGGGGATACACGCAGACTAATATAGACCTCTTTGTTCATTTCCATCGAAATTGTCAATAGCTTAAATTCGACGAGAAGCGAATTAGAATGTTACATTGGTGTGGTATTATAACATTCGCACAAGCCAAATTTCGAGCATTAAATTCTGAATTTAATTCAGTTTAAACTTCTAAACAGTCACACTCATTAAAGGGGAACTCCGGCACTTTTTCGATATTCACAGATTTCAATAAAACTTTGAACATGTGTTATCGTCAGTACCATGGTGATATCTGACAAATTATACCACCGTAAGTCATTTTGTTTTTTAGAAAACAAGTTTTAAAATTGGTAGCCGATTTTGGAATCACACTTTTAAATGTGAGGCAAGGGACAACTTTTCTCAAAAATCACGCCTTTCCCAGCAGGTGGATTCAACGCACGCTTTCGAAGCAGACAGATGCAGTGCGCACTTTCCCGGCAGACGGATGCAGCTGCATACAGCGCGTTAGTCGTAGTTGACGTTGGGCCTTACAATATCGAGCAACGAGGAAATCGATTCGAGGCATGTCAGATGCTTCATGCGCCGGCAGGTCGAAAACAAAAAGCGATGCTTCTGCGCTCAGATAGCAGCTGCAATCATCGTTGAACTTGTCACTGATAAGTTCAGATGAGCCACCACAGCTTGATCTCGCGTCAGATGATGTCGCCAAGATGCTTTTCGCGCTATGTTTACACCCTCGCCAGCCATGGTGCAAATTAGCAGATCTCCTGATGTGATCGGCGACAGATTCTCGTGACGTCAGTTCGATACCCACCATGGACGACAAAGCAGCTCCCGGTTTCAGTTTCCGTATTGATTCACCATTAAACAAGATGTTTGACAAGTGCCTGGAAAAAATGTACCACCCTAGCTTTTACAGGACTGTCAATACTATTTAAAAGCAGCAGCATCTCAGTATGGTCGAAAATGCACTGGAGTTCCCCTTGAAGTGTCGGCAGTGTTGTAGGTCAAAGCTAGCCTTGAGACAGCATTCTTATTGCAAATCAGTAGGCTGTGCAAAATGCAGCACGTGCTGAGGTTGTTAGCATTTTGATTGTCTATGAATGTAGAGAGATAATCAGCATACCTTGGCAATTTGGAGCCACGTAGAGAAATCTCTGAGGCCAGTTCATCTTGAAGAACATGACAGTAGACCTCCCCCTGCACACGACACAAAGAACATAGAATCAGAATGTTTAGTACATGCCAATATATTGCTTGCATAAAACAGAACATAGAAAAGAAAGTAGACAAAACAAATATAGTGTAATTTAATATGTCCTACTTCGAAAACAGAAAAAATGAATGAGCAAAGCACTAAGTGATACAAATGCCAGAGAGGGGAGGGGCACGTACATGACACTGATCTATTAGTAGCATCAATAACAACACGATCTTCAGCATGGCAGGTGCATAGCACTTGACGAACTCTGAAAAAATGCGTACCTCAATGGTTTGTCATACACTGGCATTCTGATTCAGCTGTGTTGTGCGGCACTATGGATGTTGCATATGAATGAAACTGCTTCACAGTGTGACGTGGTACGCGAAGCCGTAGAAGCCACTACATCGAAATCTTGATGTAGTGGTGCGGTGTCGCAGCACGAAAGGTATCGCCCACTTCAACCATTTTCAATGGTTTTCTGCATGCCGTATGTTTGTCTAGTCTTGGGCTGTCTTTTGTGCAGTTTATAAGATGTTGAGAGGGCATCTGCATACTTTTTTGCCCATTCAACCAGTTCACTCATTGAACTGCTGTGCTCTCAAATGTATAAGAGCGGCAAACAGTATAGCGCAACAACGGCCATGAGACATGCTGTAAAAACCTGCATGTCATGCAAGGTATCTAGATTAGATTTTAAACTCGAATTACCACCTTGCATTAGACACGTAAATAAAGAAGTATTATCCTATTTTAATTCACAGCGGCAGCTGACCAAGACTGCAATGATGTTCAGCTAATTACTAACTGTACACCATTGCAAGGCGATATTAACATCCTCATGAAACTGTAAATGACCCTAAGTTTTAGCCTGGATACATTCTACCCCAGCCTAATTTTAGGTGAAAGTGGAAAGAAATATCTGTGACGAAAAATGCTCGTTGTGAATTTTAATTTTAGAAAACTTTAGCTTTTTAACTTATCGCATCTGAGAGACCCATCTCGTATTATATTGAGATACAGTACTCTCATAGATTCAAATGTGACATGAAATTTTTCATGAGTACCGTAATTACTCGAATCTAACGCGCACCTTTTTTCCAGTTAAGCGAGTTCGTAAATCGCATGCGCGTTAGAATCGAGTACGAACAAAAAAATTACGGTCAATCTATTGCCATCGCAAATCCAAAATGGCCGCCTCAAATCCAAAATGGCCGCACATGTGTTTACCATGTGCGGCACTTCGTACGTGTGCTGAGGAGTTCGTCATCTAGTAGTGCATTAGCATCGACGACTTGGAAGGGCCGACTCCAAAAACTCGAGTGCACCACGATGCCGCTTTTAAAAGAAAAGTCATCGCGTGTGCAGAAACGGACGGAAATCAGGCCGCATCGTGGTCCTTCTCCAAACGTGCGTGCGGGACCGGCGGAAACAAAAGCAGAAGATTGTCGACAGCAAAGCTTCACGCAAAGGCTTCAGTGAACCACAGCAGGGTCGGTTTCCGCAAATTGAAGAGCTGCTCCACGAGTATGTGCTTGAGGAGCGAGTGGCACAGCGGCCCATGACGACAGAACTGCTCCAAGTGCGGGCTATGCAATTAGTCTTAGAAAAAAGTCTAATGCGGAGCCTGTTTAAAGTGAGCAGGTGCTGGCTAATTAACTATATGAAGAGGAAAGGCTCTTCCCTCCGAAGGGGAACATGCATATGCGAAAACTTTTGCGGAGAAGTACGATGAAAAGCTTTACAGTTTTCAGAGGTTCGTCCTAAACTTGCGGCACAACAACGGCTACCTGCTTGGGCAAATCTGGAATGCTGATCAGACGCCTCTTCACTTCGACATGCCTGGCACCACAACTGTCAAGAAGAAGGGGGCGAAGCAAGTTCGCGTGCTGACATCGGTCCACGGTAAAACTACAGTGACGGCAATGCTCTGTTACACGTCAGATGGGCACAAGCTTCGCCCGTACCTCATATTTAAATGGAAGACAATCCCGAAAGGAATCGTTTTTTCGAGTGGTGTGATCGTGCCGGCCAGCAAAAAAAAATGGGTGCGCGTTGCAATCGATGTTTTACGTTTTTTTTTTTTTCGCGGTGGAAATCCGGTGCGCGTTACAATCGAGGGCGCGGTAGAATCAAGTAAATACGGTACTAACTGCCAACGATGCCAGGGAAAGTATACAGGGTGTTATTGAAAGTGATTCTAATGTAAATGTGAAGAAATGAAAGTGGACAACAAGATTTAACTTGCCACTGGCAGGATCCGAACCTGCGACATTTGGCTAATGCATCCGAGTCTAGTGGTGGAGCATCAGACCATTATTCGAAGGTCGCAGGTTCGGTGCCTGCCGGCGGCGAGTTACACTTACTTTGAATGTACGCTTTTCAAAGCCTTTTGAATGTACGCTTTTCAAGCCTTTGAATGTACGCTTCTTTCTTTTATAAGTTTTTTTATTATAGTATTGACTGGTACAAGCAATTCCTCGAGATAAACACCTCATATCACAAGGAATCTGCTCTCTTAGAGGTAATTTTGGCTCTGATTTGCGCCTTCGTGTCGAACTTATACTGTTATGACCTGACTGACACCAACAGAGATAAAACTGCTTGCATCATTTATTTCTAAATTGTCACATTGCAATCATTGAGCCCTGTACACTTTATATATGATGATCATTACAGCACAACGGCAAAAACCAAGCCATGAGGGCCTCTCACCTTTGTGTCAGGGATGAAGTTCTCTTCGCATGGACTTTTACTGTGGTCCAACACAATGGCTCGTCTCAGCAGGTCATGGATCACCTGCTCATAGTTATCCTTCTTGACACTGCACAAACAAAAACAGTCCATATCTTCAGATGCCGTTTACGAGGGGGCAGCTCATGTTTTTAATCTCATGAGACAATCGTTAATTTGCTGTGATGATCTCAGCTGATCAGGTTAGTTGATCAAGCATCGTAGAATTGAGCACCCTTTATGTACATGTACAGTCAAATTCATCTACAACGCGGTAGTGTCCATGAAAAAAATGGCTTATTTACAGTCGACTCCCGGTAATTCGAAGTCGCTTAATTAAAAGTTTGGGTTAATTAGAAATGAGCAAGTGGTCCCATCAGTTTTGCATGCAATCGTATAGAAAAAAATGCTCGATAATTCGAAGTTAAAAACCCATAATATTGATTAATTAGAAGTTTTTTCAATGGACAGTCTCGTCGTGACCGTAATTTTACAGTAAAATGGGGAACTTTTCATATGCCAAAATATCTGCCGGACCGCGCTGGTGTCTTCGCCATCACTACTGTCCGCAGCGCCACAGATCTTGAAGCGACAATCTTTTTAACGCTGGCGAATCGCATCGGCGGCATCGACTGACTCTTTAGTTGACTTTTGTCGAGACTCGAGTGTGTCACCGCGTCACCCGCGCGCTGGGTTGATTCCACACGTGTTTCCGCGCTTCTGATTTTGAGTGTTGTGGTGGTGACGTACGTTTGATAATGGCAACTCGTGGCCCTTACCGAACGCTAGACCTAGCGACGAAAATCGAAGTCTTGAAGGAAGTTGACCAGGGAGGCACCGCCAAACAAGACATTGCAAGAAAGTACGGCATTAAGCCTAACACGCTGTCGACTTTCATAAAGAATAAGCGCTCAATATTGGATGCGTTTGAAAGTGAAAAATTCAAGACATCGCGGAAGCGGATGCGCACCGGCGCCTACCCCGAGTTGGAGGAAGCACTGCTGATTTGGATCAGAGAGGCACGAAACAACAAACTTCCTCTCAGTGGTGAAGTCGTCACGGCAAAAGCGTCATTGCTTGCTGAAATGTTGGGCATCAACGACTTCGCTGCTTCGGATGGGTGGCTTACGCGTTTCAAACATCGCTACGACTTGATTTTTAAAAGCGTGTGTGAGGAGAAGGCGTCAGTTAATGAGGAAACGTGCCTGACATGGAAAGCGGGCAAGCTTCGCGAGTACCTCGAAGAATACCAGCCGGCAGACATTTCTAATGCAGACGAGACTGCGCTTTTTTATCGGCTGCTACCAGACAAGACCCTGACATTTAAAGACGACGACTGTTCTGGAGGCAAAAGAAGCAAAGAGAGAGTGTCAGTGCTAGTCGGGGCGAACATGACTGGCACAGAACGGTGTCGCCTGCTTGTGATCGGGAAGGCTGCCAAGCCTAGGTGCTTTAAAGGCGTGAAGACGCTTCCTGTGGATTATGCCTCGAATAGAAAGGCGTGGATGACATCCGATATATTTAACGACTGGATCACCAAACTCGACCGCAAGTTCGCGCAATCAAGCCGTAAGGTGTTGTTTCTTGTGGACCAATGTAGGGCCCACATGAACGTACCTACCTTGAGTGCATTTCCGTCTTGTGTACCTGCCTGCAAACACGACGTCCGTGTTGCAGCCCATGGGCCAGGGCATAATAAAAAATGTGAAGGTATTGTATAGGCAGCATCTCGTCGAGCGCATGCTTTTGTGCATGGACAACTCGTCGCAATACGAGGTGAGTTCGCTTAGTGCCATCAACATGCTAGCGCGAGCTTGGACTCGCATGAAAGAAGAAACTATCGCCAATTGTTTCCGGGCCTGTGGTTTCATGGAAAACTCGGGGGATGCTTCTCCTTGTGCGCCAGTGGAAGTGCAAACAAATGAGCTCGACGACGGTAGCTTTCGCGGCGCTTTCGGTGACGTCTGTTTTGACGAGTATGTCGCTGTAGACAGCAACGTCGAAACATGCGGACAGCGAAATCGTGCAGATGGTTCGGCCCCATGACTGCATTCCTGAAAATAATGATGATGACGACGACATCGGAAATGAGCCACCACCGAGGGCTGCCGATGTAGCTGCGGGTCTTGCTCTTGCGCAGCAGTTTTTTGTTGGAGAACACAACGCCGAAGAAGCACTTCGACACGTGTATTCCTTACAAAACTTGCTAGCCGCAGCCAGATTCGGCAAGCAGAAGAAGATGACAGACTATCTTTCCTCAAAACTGTCGCGCTTTTAAACTAATAAAAGTGCCGTTTTTAGTGCTTTTTGCTCAATTCGAAGTTCGTTTAATTCGAAGTTTTTTGCGGTTCCCGTGAGCTTCGTATTAACGGGAGTCGACTGTATGTGCAAAAGTTAGTTGAAAATGTATATTCCGAGCATTGTATTTTCAATGCCAAGATATTCTCTGTTTACCTCGTAATAGGAGATTGTTCGTGATACTGTATTCATTATATTGAGATCTAACAGCATCTATTCACAGTTGACACAGATGGGCAATGCCGATACCTTCCCCAGCAACCAAAATACATCTGTGGCCATTCTATCACTTGGACAAAAATAACGACTTTTCAAACCTTTTATGCCATATTTCCGCATCACTCAATAAATCAATCCAATCTTGATATAATAAATCTGTGTATAAAGAATTATTAGTTAAAACAAAGTAGTTGGATAACAGTCTTGCCATTAGTTATAGTATTACCAATATACATTCATGACAAACTTTTGTCCATAAATAAGCGGTAACTTAATTGTATGTCAGGCATATCTTGATTGTAATGCCAGGCATAACTTGATTGTAAGGGGTTCTGGCTGCAGAGGGATGCGAACTGTGCACCTCTGTTGGCAGTTTTATGCCCTTTTGTAACCCCCTTGCAGTCCCCAGTTATCCCTTGCCCCGACAAGAGAACAAGGCGCAATACTAGTTTGTTCTCAGGCATTGCTGCATGAGATTATTCATGCCCCATCTTTTAAAAGAATGCCCTAAATTTTTTTGATTGAAATTTGCTTTTTGCTTTGCTTTTGGTTCAGAACAGTGGGAAGGCAGCTAAAGACTTTGTGCTGTAAAGGCCTAATGATAGAGGCAACACTGCAAATGTTCTGACATGCAAGCTGCATTGATTACCTGTCAATCTCCTTCAGCTGAACAGCAGGCTGCGTGTTGAAGGCGTGCTTCTTGAAGTAGACGTCTTGGAAGTAGGAGTTCATGTTGAGGCCCGACGAGCCGAAGTGGTACGTCCGAGACACGTCCGGCACAATGCACTCGCGCCCTTTGCGAACGTCCGGCAGCCGCATCCACATGTCCCAGTCCCAGAGCTTCTCGTGTCGACATGCAAAGCGACGGCAAGAAAAAGTGCGAGCGTAAGTAAAGGAGAAAAAAAAAAGACAGTAAAGCCATGACAGTCTCCTGCATCTGTTTTATAAAATGCAGGTGAAAAGAGAAAAAAAATTCACACACTTTCTTATCAACTAGAAAAGTTTCATTATGTTTAAGTCAACACTGTTGAGTGAAATTCAACTGGATAAACCACAGTGTAGCCATGAGGGTGGTTTGGAAGGCTCAATTCTTCCAAAATTTTTAATTTTGTATGTGCATATATGCAAGCACATAAACACATGCACAAACACACAAAAGGTGGGTCAGGTATGTTCTCCGAAGTCCTCCAAAGTTATGGGTACACCTCTGGTATAAATGCTTACAGCTAGGAATGTGGCAATAATATATTTTAGGTTCGAAGTGCATTCGAAGCAAATAATAATTTGGTATAATAATTTTGAATCGGATTTGAATAACAGACATCACATATTGCAAATGAAGTTAGCTTGTCCTTCACGACCCAACTAACATGTACAATATTGTTTTAAAGCTGGAACAAGGCATGTGTGAATCTTATTTGTTATGATTCAGAGCGAGGTGGAAGCAACTTGGAAAAGTACCAGAACCAGACTTTCAGTGGAATGCAGGCGATAACCTGTGATACGTAACATTCTAATGTTTACTATAGTCTCAGCATATAGGCTGGTATACCAAGCTTTTAAATTTAAAAAATGATCAATCGATGTAAGGGTAACATGTTTTCGAATACTGTCATAGTTGTTTGATTACTTGAAGTGCTAGAATATTCACACATGTCTACTTATTGCAGTAACGTTACAAGCATACAGAAATAAGCAGCAGATCAACTTTGTAGTGGCTGGCAAGGTAGAGGAAGGATCGTTGAATGAAAAGAGAGCTTGTTTACTTGTTAGTAGCTTGCAGATATACAAGAAAATCTGTACAGATTTCTTGGAAAAAAAGTTTGTCAGTTTCCGAAAATTTGTCGTTACCTGTGAATGTACAAACTATACCACTGAAACTATTCCACTGAGTGAAACAAACTAATAGAATGCTAAAGGCAATTTTTTGTAATTTATAAAAGATTCTTACACTACAAGGTCTGTCGGAATCAAGGAAACTCCATAAGTGGCAAGTTTGCCGCCGTCACTCATGTGAAAAAAAAAGTATTTGTCTCAAATTACTACAGACCAGAACACAGCAAATGCAATGTGAGGCACCTGTAAGCTACGCATTAGCTGTCCATCGACCCACTCCAGTGTCGTACAACTCGCCACCACTGGCTTATCGTGACGTGAGCCAAGGGCCTTACAACGAGCCGTGGGCTCCAGCTCCCAATCCGCCGCAGCCGTATCCACAGTCCAACGTGCCTATGCAAACGGCGCCGATGTACACTCCGCCGACATCTGCATCTTGGTCGCAAGGTATGCCCACCAGTCGACCATTCATCCGTAAGACGGACTTGTGGCGCACCGTCGACCGTCGACCACTTTGCTTTCATTGCGGAGAAGCTGGCCATATTTTCCGCAATTGCCCACACCGTGACTGTAGGCATCACAACTTTTTACAAACCTCCCCTCGTGCCTATTTCGATAACCGCCGTGACAGCAGTGCAGGCCCGCAAGCACAGCAACCCGAAGTGCTGTATCGTCGACCCCGCTCTCCTTCACCTGCACCGAACTCGCCGCCGCAGCGCAGTTACTCCGAGGTGGTCCGGGGCAGATCTCCTAGCCCTCGTCGGGGAAACTAACAGCTGCGACCTTTGGGGGGAAGGTTGCCGCTCGTTGAGATGCTATCACACCCCAACATCTTCTCTACGACGCGATACAACGAATGATACCGCGGATCGTACAACGCACGATACCAAGGACGATACGACGTCACCGACATCAACAGAAATCGGAAGCGCCAGTCTAGACATTTGTATAGACGGACGCCCAATAACAGCACTGGTAGATACTGGTGCGGACTTCTCTAGTATCAGCCGTAAACTCGCCGACTGCCTAAAAAAAGTAAGAACAATATGGACGGGCCCAAACATAAGAACCGCAGGAGGTCAATTGGTGACGCCGACGGGCATATGTACAGCTCGAATTAATATCCGCAGTTCGTATTTCGTCCCTACTTTCGTAATTTTACCGGAGTGCTGAAAAGACCTGATCTTGGGCATGGACTTCTTGCGTGGATACGGTGCCATTGTCAACATTCCTGAGAGATCGGTTACATTTTGGATGGCCCCAGATGAAGTTTCGGATGTGCCCTGTACAGACCAGTGACGTCAGCCTTTGCGTGTCTTCGAAGACGACGTGACCATCCCACCGCGGTCGAGTGCACTCGTGGCTGTGACATGTGACACGTCGAGCGATTCTGAAAACATCGCCGAGCAAATTCCAACACTGCTATTCAGGCATGGTTTATCTATCGCAAAAGGCGTCGTAAGCATAAAATGCGGACACAAGCACGTCCTTGTTACGAACTTCAGCTCTGAACGCCGACGTCTAACGAGGGGCATGGCAGTCGCGTACGTGGAAGAGCTCGCCGAGATGACAGACTGCCTAACTCTTGAAAAAGATAATTCAACTGATCTGACCCCCACACCTCTATCTGTTGATATTGGCCCAAGTTTGCTGCCGGCGCAGAAGCAAAGTATCATGCAGCTTATTAACAAGTTTGAAGATTGTTTCTCTTCGATTTCCAGGGTCCGTCAAATGCCGCTGACGAAACATCGAATTATAACGGACGACATGACCAGACCCATCAGGCGAAACCCGTACCGGGTAGCTCCGCGAGAACGTGAAGACATCGAAAAGCAGGTGCGACAGATGCTTGAAGACGACGTTATTCAGCCGTCGAAAAGCCCTTGGGCTTCGCCGGTTGTATTAGTGAAGAAAAAAGACGGCACCTTACGTTTCTGCGTGGATTACCGCAAGCTGAATCAGGTGACAAAAAAAGACGTCTACCCACTTCCACGTATCGATGATTCACTCGATCGACTACGCCACGCGCGTTATTTCTCGTCAATGAATCTAAGGAGTGGGTATTGGCAGATAGAAGTCGATGAAAGAGACCGGGAGAAAACAGCTTTCGTGACACCTGATGGCCTTTTTGAATTTAAGGTACTTCCATTTGGCTTGTGCTCAGCACCGGCAACGTTTCAGCGGCTAATGGACACCGTACTATCAGGTCTCAAGTGGAAGACGTGCTTAGTGTATTTAGATGATATCATCGTATTTTCTGCCACATTCGACAAACACGTCAGGCGACTGCACTCAGTATTTGAAGCTATCCGTTCCGCTGGACTAACACTTAAGCCGGAAAAATGCCATTTCGGCTTCGAAGAGCTTCTGTTCCTGGGGCATCTTGTCAGTAGTGAAGGTGTGCGGCCTGACCCTGAAAAAATAGCTGCCGTTACGAATTTTCCAGCGCCAACTGACAAAAAGGCGATCAGACGGATTTTAGGACTGTGTGCTTACTACCGACGCTTCATTGAGAACTTCTCGCGCATTGCCTCGCCGTTGACCCGCCTTACCAAAGAAGACGTTGCATTCGTATGGAATGAAGAGCAGCAAAAATCATTCGACGAGCTGCGGCAACGCCTTCAGAAGCCACCAGTCCTCCCACACTTTGATGATGACGCACCGACAACAGTGCAGACCGACGCTAGCAATGTCGGCTTAGGAGCTGTACTCGTGCAGTGGCAGGATGGCGCCGAACGAGTAATTGCTTACGTGAGCAGAACTCTTTCACGTGCGGAAGAGTAATTATTCCACTACGGAAAAAGAGCAGCCGCTTCGACTTCTTCTTCCTCGGAGGAACTGTGGGTGCTGTCCACGCTCATCAATTCATCGTCCTCTGTCGTTTGCATAGGCACGTTGGACTGTGGATACGGCTGCGGCGGGTTAGGAGCTGGGGCCCACGGCTCGTTGTAAGGCCCTTGGCTCACGTCACGATAAGCCAGTGGTGACGAGTTGTACGACACTGGAGTGGGTCGACGGACAGCTGATGCGTAGCTTACAGACCGCTGGTCTGAGAGCGATTCGGGCAACGAAAATGCCTGGCGGAGTTCCTGCCGCACAACTTCTGCAACGCAAGCCATGGTATTTTCTTCCGAAGTCACAAGGAGGTTTCGGATCTCCTCCCGAACGACCTCACGAATGAGTTCGCGCAGAGAACACTCACTACCGGAACTCAAAGCAGAGAGGCTGGGAGATGTTTTGTTTGGTTGGTCATGGTATCGGCGCCGTTGCTGTAGTGCCCGCTCGATTGTTGTAGCCTCTTTGACGAATTCCACTACGCTTGTTGGTGGGTTGCGTAGGAGACCGGCAAACAGCTCTTCCTTAACGCCCCTCATCAGATGTCGGAGTTTTTTACCTTCAGGCATCTCAGGGTCGGCCCGCTGAAATAGGCGGGCCATGTCTTCCGCAAACATGGCCACGCTCTCGTTTGGTTTCTGTATGTGTGCCTCGATAAGCTGCAGAGCAGAATCACGGCGGTCGATGTTTGCGAGTGTCCAGAGAATTTGCTGCCGAAATTCCTCCCACGAAGACAGCGTTGACTCGTGGTTCTCGTACCACGTACGAGCGCTGTCTGCCAAAGCAAAGTAGACGCGCGATAGCTTTTGTTCAGTGAGCCAGCGGTTGGCTTTGGCGACTCGCTCATACTGGGCTAACCAGTCCTCGACGTCTTCATAAGCCTCACCGTGGAAGGTCTCAGGAATTAGAGGCTGATCAACAGTAAGCTGTGAAGGCCCTCCGGTAGCCATTTCTTCTGGTACATGTGTTGCTGGAGAAGTTCGAGCGGGATCGCCTCAGGACTAAGGCCTCGCTGTCGGCGACTGTAGCGGTGGACAGGAGTATTTACTGCAGGAACGGATTGCGGTGGTGGACTCGATGTGCTAGGGCGCGGAGTTGTCCCAAGCATCAGTTGGAGAAGTCCAGCACCTCCACCAACGTCGCTAGGTGAAAATAACAGAATACAGGACGACGGTGCTACCAGAAAAAACGAGGCCTGTATTATCAGAACAAAAGAGCAGCCGCTTCGACTTCTTCTTTCTCGGAGGAACCGTGGGTGCTGTCCACGCTCATCACTTCATCGTCCTCTGTCTTCTTTCCCGGCCTTTAGCCGTGACAATATTTGCATAAAACACGAAATTTCCGAAAACTCAGTTCGTCGAAGAGTGTGTTTCACTTTGTAGGGGTGAAGCTCTTCTTAGTTTAACCTCGTCCTCCGTCAGGCGTAACCTGACTGACAGACAGACAGACTGAGAGACAAATAGACAAATAGATAGACAGACAGACGTACAGACACTTTTATCACTCTTTATCATTTATGGGTGGATATGCTGTGATTTTTTTTTGTCGAGCCAGGAACTTTTAACGTGTTTTATTGAAGCATTAAGAAAGGCTTGCTCATGCAAATCCACAATGTCCTCAATACGTGCTGTGCAGGTAGCGGAAGCAACTTCGTCAGATTCATGAGGTGTTAAACTTAAAAAAAGATGCATCCGTGCTGTTAGTACATGTAAGTTTTAATTATAATACAAATGAGTTCTGTGGAGACCCATAAGGCGGCACAAAAAGCTTATTGTTTCATGAAGCACATGGACCATGCATGTGCTTCGAGTTGTTGATGAATTCATCCTCGTGCTGTCAAATGCTAGCTTTCTGGTTAGCTCGACTGATAAAGCGACCGCCCCACGAAGGCGTTGATCCCGAATTGGATCCCTGGACCAGGGAGAATTTTTCAGCAACTAAGAAGCTTTTCTTTTTGGGAAATCCCTACGGATTTCCTTGAGGCTTCATGCCATTAACAGGTGGTTGTCTACTGTCTCTGTCGTGAGTCTTAGTCGACATGCAGCACGCAAAAGAGTGAAGCAATGTTTTGTTACTGCATATTAAGAAGTTTGGACACTTTCACTGCATAATAATAAATCAAAAGCACAAAAGCTAAATTAGTACTTTGAAAGTGGTAAAGTACGCTGTTTAGTTGTGCTTGAGAGCCCAACCTTGTACTACGTTTTCCTCAAAGGAGATATTGAAAAGTAGCGGGCAGCAAGTGCACCCCAAACAAAGCGTGCGTCTGCCTTACACCAAGCTGTGTGTCACACAAATTACGTTCGTAAAATGGAATACACAGAGCCTCGTACTAGAATACGTGCAGTAAGTGCACTTACTCACGTATTTTCACTCGGCTCCCATTTATTCTGTGCGAATGACAATTATCCACTGTTGGCAAAGCTGAAAACACCACACTGGAATGACTTGCTTGGAGCATTGCGATCGTCACAGACAGCGCTAATAATCTGCTGCTACGCTGCTTGTTTTGGCATTCAAAAAAGATTCAGTACTTCCCAGACGAGCTCTCGTACGCCAGACGAGCTCTCATACCCTAAAGCACTGCAAATGGGCACACTTTTGCACTTAAAGCTTCAGGAAAGCAGCTTGCCACGCTTACCTGGTGCAAGACAGTCTAGCAAAATTTGTTCTGGGTACGAGAATATCTGTTTGGCTCGCCAAAAGCCTGGTTGCGAGACTGGCATGCTCTGGTGTACATGCGAACTCCATCAATTGAGAAAGTCTGATGAAAGTAAATGCTATAGTAGAGACATGTGACATCTCTTTACACATCCTTGAGACATGCGACTAACTTATGAATATTGTGAGCTTCTGAATATTGTGAACTTGTGAATATTGTGAACTTGTGAATATTGTGAACTTGTGAATAACTTGTGAATTCGCGAGCAGCATGCCAAAGAGTTAAACGATGTTTCATTGCCACATATTACAAGGCTGCTGCAAATAAAAGATGACGACATGCGTTCCCATAACATATTTTTTTTTCTTATTTTGCATGGTAATAATTGTGATCACAAGTTAATCACATTAGGTGCCCACCTTTTCAGGAGTGGGCCACCGGGGTTCTAGCTCTTCCTTGTACAGGCTACGCTTGAGGATCCACCCAAGACCCGGCATAGTCTCCACTCTGTACAACTGTGCCGGGTCCTCACTTGTGTGCTCGTAACCCTGAAAGCACAGCCAATCAAAAGAACGAAGAAAAATTACAGGCTCTGCCCGGGTTAATACCTGTTGCGTGCTCATCTATCATAAACTCCACCTCCAGCTTGCCAGAAGGCCTACTGATTAACTGGCGACGGAACAGAGAAGCAACACATTTAACTGTCACATTGAAAAAAATGATATTTCGCATGAGACAGCTAATACATCATCTAACTAAGTGGCCTCAGTCATAGACAAGCAGAAAAAACCTTCTGTTCTTTCACTTTGATACCCTGCTTTCCGTTTTTTTTTTAAGTTTCTTTCCGTGCATCGCAGAGCTTGCTCTAAAATGCAACACTCATACAGTAATTTTTCAAAAGCCTTTGCGGTGCTCAGAAGCCCTCGCTGGAATGTGAACAGATGAATGTTTTCGCAATGAAATGGGCATTTTGTGTGCAAACTTTTTATTAGTACATATAAACATCATTACAGAAAAGCCAACTTACAAATTTTTGCTAAGTATCAATATGTGTTCGTAATATCATATCAATAACAATCGTATGGTTGAATATACCAAAACCACGGTATGATTACAATGGACACCATAGCAGAGAAAGGCTCCAAAAACTTTGACCCCTTGAGGTTCTTTGACATGTGCCTAAATTTAAGAAGCTGATTTTCACCTCCACTGAAAAGTTCCTTATTTTATGGCCATGATACCATGCACTAAGTACAGACTATGTATGCACAGGCAAAAGTATCAAGTTACAAGAAAAAAATGCATTTTCCCATGCTCCTCATTTAACTGCTATTTTTGGCAAGCATTTTTTAATTTTAGCAAGACAGGGCTGATGCTATAAAGATATGGACAAAGTTAAAGGCATGTACAAAGCGAAGAACTGCCCTGGTGTACTGTTTTCCAAGAGCTTTGGTCTCTATCTGTGTTTCTAGCACCATTTTTCTTGTACTATTAACAAGTAATGAGACATTGCTTTTTTATGCTATTGTTTTTTTTTTTTCATTTTCTTATTAACAAACAGAGCATGGCGACTACTCGTAACCGACTTATTCAAGCTGTCTTTTTATACAGTAGTAATCGACACCTGAAGGCTGCAGAAAAATGTGTTCCGTTTAACAAGAGTTTAGTTTATTGAGGGATTCAGGGGTACAGTATTCAGATGCAAATTGATCACATTACAGGCAGTGATTCTATTCAAGCAGCAGTTTCACTTAAGAAATTTGCATTTACTCTAAGTCTGCTGCACGTGCAATACTTTAGAGTTAGGCCCAATTTTAAGAAAGTTGCAAAGATGTTCTCGTTATATGAAAAAATATGTTATAAATGTACTTTTGCAACATTGTTTCAATGGCACCATTATTTTCATTTGTGTCGTTGCAACCAATAATTCATTATATTGAGGATTGATTGTATAATGAATAGCATTGTTGATATGCAGTGCAGTTAAGGGCCCGATTGCAAGCAAAGTAAGCCACCAAGCGAATTCACTCAAGAGTGCAGAGTCGGCATGCAAAACATCTCACCTGGTCATTCCAAGCAGAAATGCAGTAAATGGAGTCATCCTCTTCGAGCAGCCTCAGCGTTTGACTAAAGTAGCTGAATTAAGAAAAGAAGATGCACAGTCTTCATAGATCACACAACTTTTACACTGTTTCAGCTGATTATTTACAACAATTGTTTACGCATAAAAGAATTATTTGCGTTTTAGCATGCCCTCAAGGGCCCCGAAGTCTCGTGACTACAGTGAGACCAGCAGACTGTTAGTGGCATTCGTTTAATAATCACAGCTATATATGACACAGGCAGACGCTTTTTCAACAAGCCAATGGGAACCAGAGGACAATCTGAAGCGTACCTGAAGAAGTCTGGAGATACATCCAGGTCCTCTTCTATTACAATGGCATACTGGGCATCCTGAAACAGAGAGGGTGAAAAAGATGAATAAAGAGTGTCAAAAAGAATGAGATCTGCATTACGTCAAGCGCTACAAAGCATGATATGCTCGATAAGAGTCCATCAAGAGCTAATGCAAGATGTTGAAGTCGCTTGCCTTTGAAGTAAAAGTAAACGCCCCATCAGATAGCTAGCTGGTTTTGCACAAGCATGAGTTTGAATTTCCCGCTTCTTTGCTGAACAAGAAATTACTTTCCAGTGCCTCTTTGCACATGTGCGGTGTGGCATGTATACTTTCTGCTGTTATATTGCGAAGAAAATCTGTTGCAATTGACACTCCTTTTCCGTGCTTTGTCTTTCTTCTGGAGCTGCTCAGGTGTCTAAATTTTTCCTCAAAGCTTTTTTTATTGAAGATCTTTCGATGCCTTTAAAACTACATTATACATGTTCTCAATGAGATGTTTATTAAAGCATCCCAGGCAGTGAACTGAAAGAAAACAGTTAATGTGGTAGCACCACAGGTATGTACACTTCAAAGCACTTTTGAGGCCATGATGCTGTTTTTATAGGACCTGGCAATGTCGCGCCAGGTTGCTGATAACGATGGTCACCACTAACTATCACCGACACTCAACATACAAAAAGGGATGAGACTAAGACTAAGTGAAAGATAACTTCATCACTTATGCTTTGCCACCATGATGAAGTGAAAGTAGAAAGAATGAATTTAGATTGGAGCTGGCAGTCCTGTAATAACGTTGGCAAATGTTGGTAGAAAACAAGCTGCCACACATCACTTTCTTAAGGCTGAATGTATACACATTGTCGTGTAGCATATACCGTATTTACACGATTGTAAGACGACTCGAATGTAAGACGACCCCCCCAAAATCGCATCTCAAAAAAAAAAAAAAAAAAAAAAAAACCTACGCGACCTACGCGACCAACAACGATCGATCACGTAGGTCAGTCACGTAGGCCGCAAGCTTCGCCTCTAGTTCCGGAAAGCGGCCAGACTTCGGCCCGCGAAAGCCACGGCACTTGGAGTCGCACGAGAAAATTTCCTCGCGCTGAAGCCGCCACTTCCGCACCACACATTCACCGATTCCGAACTTTCGTCCTCATGTCACGGCACTCATGTCAGACAGAAGTGACTCGAGAAAGCCGGTCGTGGACACAAGCGACAGGAGCACGCGGCGACGCGCCCGCTTAGAAAATTGTATCACAAAGAGGAGCTCTTCCGTCAACTACCAATACCCCCCTACGGCGGCTCTTCCATTGATTACCGGTGCTCCCTCGAGAGCCGTGCGCTCGTCATAAAGGCACTCGTAATGCGCGCAGTAGATGCTAAAAAAAGAAAAGCTTTTGTATAAGCACGCCGAAAACTATGCGCTTTGGGTTGAGCGGGAAACTATTCGAGATGACAATACATGGTTCGATTTCGATTCTAAGGTACATGGTTCGATTTCGATTCTAAGACCAACCCCCAACATTGGATTGTCAAATTTGAAAAAAAGGGTCGTCTTACAATCGTGTAAATACGGTATAAACTTTTCTTGCACATATCAATGTGAAATAACTACATGCATATTACCATATTAATTAATTATTATGACACAATGATGACATAATCGTGTCAGATATGACTCAACTGTAAGAATATTCCATGATAACTGCAGCACAAGCCAGTGCATGAATTAGTGAAACGTAACATTCTAATTCATTATCAAGGTGTAGTCTTACACAATTTTATTGCAACAAGAATCAAAAACACCTTCAGTGCGAACCAAAACTCAAAGTTTGTGAATTTGTCTTTACGTGCCGCAGATTTAAGTCAAATAACCCAAAGCCGGGCTCTCACTCCCGTTTCTATGCAGTCTATGCAGCTTGAATCATTGGAAGATACTCACGGGAAAGAGGTTGAAGGTTGCAGTGAGACTAGCCTTGTAATGTTGAGATATCCGGGCATTCTTCATGCCTATTGGCGTGTGCTGTGAAAACGTGAACCAATTGCATCACAGCTCTGATATGTATGGTATATCTGCATCATTTTCCAACGAAAAATCGACATTAGCCACGTAATTATTGTCCTTTTACCAAATGCCATTTGCCCCACAGTTTTAAATAGCCATATTTAAAAACATGAAAGCTCATGCTATCATAAACGCGTTCTGCCCTTGTAAGTTGCACACGAAAGATGGCTTCAGATGTAAAATTAAACAGCTCCATAGATAATGTCTAGGAATATATTTGCTGTCTTATCATCATTATTTGTCAGCTAAACACTTTCTGAAACATCAATATGGAGATCTTATGGGGAGGAAGCATGCAGAGGTGACAATAAGGGGACAATAGTACTGTTGTCAAATTTACAGTATTAAATGCAGCTATCATCTTTAGTACACTTATTGTTATTAATGCTGTTTTACGTGTAGCAATTATTCTGTATGTATATGGGACACAGAAACGTGAGATATGCGATGTTAAAAGGCCTTTACTCTACGGGTAGAGTACTATGAAAAACTGAAATTAATATTGCAATTGGCTCTCAAAAAAAACCGCTTGGCATAAAAAAGAAAAGCAAATGCTCAACTCACCTGTATTCCCCTAATGTTGAACAGCTTCGTGACTTCCAATGGCTCCTGTAAATTATTTGTGTAACAAAGATAAGGTATTCAGCTGATACTGGTTTATTTGAATGAATGACTCACTAGTTGGTAATGACTAAACACCGACAGAATATATTAAACTAAAATAGGAGCCTCCCATATCAGCTTACCAGTTTGCGGGTTAATAATTCAAGGTTAGCTAGATCATTTGTATCGCTATAACAACATTTATTTCCAGTTTTAAGACAAACAAACCTACAGAAAACAGCGTGCACCCAAGAGTTCCTAAACGTGTTAAAATATCAGCCCTACATTTACCTTGAGTGAACTTGTTAGAATACTGTCTATGATTATGTTTGACTTCAAAATCACGGCACACAGTTTTCGTCTATCAACTTGCATCAGCATTTGAGTAAAGCTACGATCGTAGACAAGCACGCCATATCTTTAAAAAGGGTTAAAGGTAAAGCCGCTGAACTGTATCCCATAATATATGACCTGTAGAAATGAACCTGGGCAACGTTTCTTATTTAAAATGATGTTGAATACAATGTAACTTCAACACAAGGTATACCAATACACTCCAAAACTTTCTTCATACCATGACAGTGAAATTGCATAGATGTTCTTTCCATGTCATGCTCAACATAGACGATATGCGAGAGAAATTGTACATGCAAAATTCCAACAAAAAATAAATTCACTGCTGTTTTATTGACAAGACACTAATGATGTTTTTTGCAATTAATATACCATCAGAAACCTCTAAATCCCAAAAGATACACTAGAAAGTGTCACAGCAGCCGTAACATGCTAAACTACTTGTTTCTATCGAAACGTTTCAGTTTCGTTACACGGCAGATAAAGGTGAAAATATGATCAACGTAGGCATGTGTAAAAAGTAAATTTTAAGTTCGAAGCAAATTCAAAGAGAATAGTAAATACAACAAATTGCGGAGAAAAATTATTATATTTGTCACAACGCAACTAACATGCACAATATTTTACAAAATTGAAACAAGGCGTGTACAGTTGTCATATGCTTAAGGTTAAAAGCAAAGAGGAAGCTACTTTGAATGGTGACAAGATTTGACTTGGTAGAATGCAAGTGATGGCCTGTAAAATATGTGTAAATTTAGAATTTATTGTACTTAAAACATAGAAGCCAGTACAACAAGCTTTCAAACTAAATAAAAAATAAAAATTGGTGTCAATATATTCTACCCTAGAAGTGGGCTTTGTGGTAATATGTGTTTCTCCTGGAAATATGCGATCATGTAACAGCACTTCTTCACTGCAGAAAAACCACCTTTACAAGAATTTACAAATGGTTTATATGTGTCAATTCATTACTTTTGAATGCTTTGAAATTTGAAATAATTCAAGTTCACATCAATGTGAATTCAAATACTGTAATACTCATTTGAATATTTCAGTGCTCCAATATTCACACATGCCTAAATTGGATCCTTCACACATAGCAATGTATTCCCATAAACATATTGCGAAACTTCAGACACTCGGATTTCTCTGTTCTTGACAGCATTGTGGCTGATACATACAAATGTAGTCAGAATTATTGTTCATAAATTTATGGCCTACTCTTTCTGCAGGCAGCAACGTCATACCCAGTTTCAGTGCTTACATACGCTCGTCTCGTACATCATCAAATTTTTTATCTCGCCATAGTACCATGATAATAATGATGACATCCAAGTCTGATGTTCGATAAACAGCCATATTATCGAAATAAAGTATAGTACCTTACATATTTCAGAGTTTCTGCATGCCACCTCAACAACAGAGTTTCCCGAATATAATTAACTAAAGGGACCTAAAGTGCTGTGACCGTTCAGCTACTATGGAAATGGCGGGTAGTACACAGATTCGATTGATCTTCCTGTTTGCGGCTTCGAATGCACGTGTGGCTTTGTTTGTGGTCGTGCTTTGATGTTTGCTTCAAATAAAAAAATAGATCGTTGTAAACTTCATGAGCCAATTTGAGTTGGTGAGCCTAAAGAAGTGAGGGCGGTGAAGCGGGACTGCTGAACTCACTGAGTCTCACGGAGTCAAAAGGACGAAGCTTCGACAAATCCGTGGGCTACCTATTACTGCCATGCTCGCCGAAGTGCCATGCATTGCAGCTTTCATCGACACTAGCGCCAGATTTCTTTTTAGTGCATTATTAGGAAATTCTGTGGCCGCAACGCGTGAGAAGCAAATGCCTTTTACAGCACTGAATAAGTGTCGGTATGTCTTCAGTTAACAAATCGGAAGCCAGATGAACAGTTTTGGGGTATAAGCAATCTTCTGTGACGTGTTTTATTTGATTATTATTTGATCTCGTCACAGACACGAGACATCACAAACATATATATCGGGCTCATGAGCTGATACCACTAGAAACTGAAGATCATGTATTTTCACGCGTTACTGCGTTTTCATGCCTATGAGTGCGCACATAAGGTTGTTCTTGGTGCTCAACATCTCAAAAGAAGCTAATTAGAGTTTCTATCACAAATTTTTGGGCTTCGTTATTAGAAAATCATAAGATGTAAGTATGAACTGCAGCCATACCTCAAAGTACCCATCAATAAATACTGTGATCATTCTGGGATTCACCCCATGAGCCGACAGCAGTGACCGGAGCATTCTGAAATCAAGTTATAAACCAACAACATAGAAAAAAAGGCACACTACAATGTAAAGCATCTGTAAAAGCACGAGAAGGATGCTTGAACGCAAAGTCACTACTTATGAAAGTCAGAAAGCAGCTATGAATTTTCTAGAAGAAATCGAAAAAGTAGTCAAGTTACAATTAAAGTGTAGTATCTTCTAGGACACTGAATTCTCTAAAGTAATATAGTGTGCGAGGTGTTTTTTGACAATCTGATTCCAGGAGGTCAACCAAGGGTCAATTGGCCCCTCAAATGACCAGAATGGCGACTTGCTTTCTAATATAAATTACAATAAAGGCCACGAATAAGTTTCTGGTTTCTATATTTCGATGTTCATAATATCAATACTATTTGTTATATCACTATCAAGCAAAACTATGCTATGTTTTGGTGAATTCACACTGCGTATTCTCTTTGGCAATACGTTTTTCCTTCACCATGTCCTTTAAGATGTATGAACAATGTTCTACCGCATATCAAGAAAAATGGTTTCCAGCACTCTATATTACAAAGCAGGAATTTTTATTTATTCATGTATTTATTTACTTTATTCTCTTATAATTCACATTACTCTTTGTAGAAAGTGTTACATTTTCGCTAACACATAAATAAATGAAGTGGTTGGTGTCAATTTCAAATGTACCTAAGAGCAGGTAATCAAGCACTACAGCAATATTGAGGCTTGCCACAGAGAACAGGCTTCTGATGAAGCCAATACGGCGTGAGATAGCCAAATCTGGAAGCCTTACTTAGAAGAGTGCGGCTTAACATAAAAGGCACTGACCTGTACAAGTAGTGGGGCCGATTGCTAGCAACAATGGCCACTGGTACATCTTTTACCCTGTTGTTTGGGACCTGCGAGAATTGAATGTTAGTCAAATCTGAAAATAAAGGAACCAAATAGGACAAGTTTGGGAGAGTAATAAATTGGGGCTAGTTGACTTTTTTTAATACTTCCTGCAATGAGAAGTGTGAAGACCACAGAGGACACAGAAAGGACAAGACTAGAAACAAGACCATAAGCGCCGGCCAGTACGATCATGATTTGAATTTGTATGGTCTATAACAACATTTAAATCATTAAAAGCGATTTGAACCATAATAGAAAAAGCATTGAGAGGCTTCTTATAATGCACTCTTTGATTTCTCAAATGTGCCATTTATAAGAGGGTAAGCAAATGCAAAAAAGTTGAAATTGAGACTGAGTTTCTTTGGCATGAAAATGATTCCGACGGTGATATGGAACAATAACAAGCCAAAAATCTCTGCCCAAAACAGCAAGTTTACTAGAAAGCTAAAAAACAGTTCACTAACAGAAGCTTTGCTCCATCATCATTAGAGAACATTTCTATTTTATGATCCCACACACTTGAAGAGGAGCTGTCACGATCACCGAGGCTTTGCTTCTTCTCAGTACAAAGAATTCGTCTAAAAGATGAACTATATCATTAAAAAGATTTTTTTCTTGCAGCAAATTAAGTGTGGGCTTCGATGCACACAAGCGCACTGAGCCACTCACAGTGAAATAAGCTGACTTTCCTGATTCACCACATTTTGTTTTCTTTTCTGCAAAATTTAGAGCATGCACCGGTAACTTGAATGACGCCATTTTGAAACGGGACAGCTTGCAACAAACCTAGTAGTCTGTCTTTTTCAACAGCTTCTCGCGACGACTGGTATCAATGAGAAAAAAGAACAACAAACACGTAAATTATGAGGAAGAAGCGTGGAGCACCACGAGACCTCAAGTTGTCTTTGATCTCTAATGAAAAGAATAAACGAAAACGAGTGCTCGAAGGAGCTGTTCTCTTCCTCTGTCTTATTTGCATGTATGCGCATGACAAGCTCGGCTCATCCATTGTCCTTGAAGGACAGAAGACACTGTAATGAATACAAGAGAGAGAGCAGACTTGAGTCTTTGTCAGCACACTTACAGGCTCTGGCGAGAACGTCAATGGGGCTGGGTCGGCGCAACTGCAGACACTGCCGTAGCCCTCAATGTGGTTGCAGAAGGCCCGGCGACGCTGGTTCTCCTCGTTATCGGGCCAGTCACACTCGCTATCTGCAAAATCAAGCATTTACAAAAAGATGCTCGCTTAGAGTAGTCAGCAGCATCTGAGCGATAAAAGCCACGTACAGCAGCACTCAAGATGTTTTGTCAAATGCACTTGCCGGGGCGAAAAACTCTGCATTCTGATACTGTTTCCTGGGGCAACCAGGCTCACTGAACTAAAGATGCCAGTGGTGACGACCTTGCATGCTGTGCAGTGGATTAGGAACAGAAGTCCCGTGTCGCAGCCAGTGATGCTTAGGACAGGTATGGCCAAGGCAGGTACAACTCCACAGATCAGTCGTAGACATTTTAGCAAGTGACACCAGTACGAACGTGTTAATTATCTCTCGCTTTATTTCTACAATGTGCTCCAACTATATTAGAATGGCGTGGGGCATTCTGTTGTAAACTAAGGCCACAATATGTTGCTTTACCTTAGCAAGGTACGTAAGGAATGCGACAGGAGGCAAGAAACAGGGTATCAGCCCCGTCACACGTGTTTCTTTCGTCCTTGTTTGTTCCGTTTACGTGCTCTATTTAGGCTGTTTTTGTGTTCCACAGGAGTTTCACCATTCACAAATGCAATTACTATCTCGTGACCAACATGTTGCACTTGCAGTTATTATCTCTTTAGCAATCCCCAAACTTGGTGAGGGGTCCTTAAGTGAGACACGCAAAAGTGGTTTGCAGAAAAGCATAAAGAAAAAGCTGTCCCTGCTGGTAGCACAATCGCAAGCGCGACACAGCAGGCAGCGAAGTTTCAGGAATGGAAGGAGTTGGATGCCTTTTTCTAATGTCATGTTAATACACGCAGTGCTTACCTTCAACGGGAACCAGAGGGACTTCGACTTTGAGCAGTACAGGTGCACCCCAGCTGTTGAACTCGGGGCTTTTACTGTACGTCTCTCCATACATTTTTCCTGGAAACAGAATGGGAGATTTTCAAACTTAGCAGGCAGTGTACACAGAAGAGCATCAAATTGGGCTAGTAGGAGGAAGATCGTCTTGAAATGATTTTAACTGCACTAGAAACGCAATCAGAAGACGAGATGTGACTGAAGCGTTCACGTGATGCTGTTTGGCCGAAGAGCATATGTTGCTTTTTACGTTCATTCTATATATAGTTAGACCCTTCAATAATGGAAGCCCTCAAAAACTTCGCGTTCATCAAAAACCTGGTGTTCATCTTAAATCAATTTTAAATGCTCTAGAATAGTGAACAGAAGATGAGACATAGCTTAAGCATTCATGTGACCTTGTGTGGCCATACAGCTTATGTTGTATTTGATGTTCACTTTCTATATAGTTGAACCTTTCAATAATAAAAGCCTGAAAGTGAATAAAAGCATAATAGCGGCACATGGCGGCACACATGTGTACGACAGGTTGGTCAAGGACTGCCTGAAATAAATTGTGGTTGTGCAAAGTGATTGGTGTGCGTCAATCAGTGTGTATTTTCGTGACAACAAAACTCTCACCAGCACAAGCAAAGATCGCAAAGACGCAGCGATTTCGTTGCTGAAACATTCGACTGTATTAAACAAATTCACTGAAGGTTTATTCAATGTTCCTTGTAACATTCAATGAAATTCAGCTGTGATTCTGGGCGCATGTTCTCTTCTCATTTTCTGATGTCCATGTTTCCGGAGCCGCAAAAACCGCAAAAACCATTTTAGTGTAAGTAGGATTGGTGACAAAAATAACTTCAGCCATTTTTGCCGTTCTTGGATGCAACAAACTTACAATGAGCTAAAATCAACAAAAGAAAAGAATTACAGGAGTAAAAGCGATTACATCCGTATATTAGACAAACAAAGAGCATTCATAAACGGCATTCACGTAGTGCTGTTTGATATAGATATAACATAAATATTGCAAAAAGTTGCACATAATTTTTTTTGCAAAGGTGTACACATGTTTGTAAATAACGCCAGGTGTAACAAGATAAAGATACTGTTGTGTTTGTGTTGACCTCATGGCTACAAAGTTTGACATATACCTGCGCAAATCACTGTGCACTGTAACTCCTATGGCATCTTATGACAATGTTTTAAGTGACATCCCAAGCGTTGTGTTAAAGATTATTTCCCGCAAGATTATATACCGTTTTCACATGTCTAGAATGAATGAATATCTGCAAGAAAAAATGTATTACTGTGTTATCTGTATCACATGATTGTTTTTTTTTTATGTTGTTACCTCAGAGCTGACCTGTACACTTTTTTATGTTACACATTGTATTGGACCGTCCACTAGCCACTTTAGGCTATCGGTCCAAATACTCCCTGTAATTGCATATATCTATTTATGAAAATAAAGCTTCATTGATTGATTGATTGATTGAATGAACAGCAGACACCTTTTCAGGCACAATATGAATGTGAGAAACTATTAGCATTACAACCTATTCTCAACTTAATAAAATGCTCCATGTGCTGGCAACACTTGTCGAAAAAACAAAGTTGGCGGCAAAATTATCAGGGTCAATGCGGCACGTTTTTTTCTTGTGGCGTCAGATCGCATTGTTTCGCCTAGAGTGAAACGGTGCTGGCTGCTATCTGCCTCATTCTCATCAGCATAAAAGATTTCACTGGCGAAGCAGCGGAAATAGTTGCACTGTGCATGCAAACATCGACCCTCTTCAGAGAACCGCATCACATTTTCTTCGAGTAGAACAACCTGGCTATCGAGCCCGAAGTTGAAGAAGGCAACTGCTCATGTATAGCGGGCGAAAGGTGCTAGCACTTCTGCGCTGCGTTACTACGCTGCCAAAGAGCAAGGCCTTAACAGTCTTCAAAGTAACTGTGCTACTATTAGAGCCGCTGATTGCATTTATCCCACTGAGTTGTGTTGTCTCGTCAAAAGCTGAATACGCTTTCCGTTGACTTGGTTACGGAACGAAGCTAGGCCTGGGCCAGTGATCTTGAGATAGGGCGAATCGTAGTTACGATTGTAATAGGAGAGTTCTTTTCTTTTCGTTCGGTTTTCAATGAATAACACTGCGTGCTTCCAAACACTCGCTTGTTCGTGTTGGCCGTAGTTGATCTTCAAAACAGATAAATGTGCGCACACTATGCATAATACGAATGCACAGACATAATATATATATCCCCTTCAGACCCCACGTGCGTTAAACTGCACAATTGTTTTTTATAGTTTAAAAATTCTTGTGGCTATTGAAGCCACCACTCTTGGTGCAATCGCATCCTATACTATGTGGTGTCACCTGGTCAGCAATACAAAAAGTACTCTGCAGTGGAAATCATGTTTTCTTGTTTTCGAACATAGCGAAATGCTTGAAATCCACATTCTAGTGACGGTGTTCCAGTAAGTCCAAAACCACTCAATAATCCCCCAGTTATATTTTGCAATTGTTGTTTCAGTCTACCTGATGAAGAAAGGAACTAGCCACCGTGCCCACTGCGAAGCCCACCCATCGACTTCTTCTTTATTCCGAACAGTGATCTAATTCTAATGACGATTGTGGCTTCTTTGTCTTTCACACAATATTTAACTTTCTCTGCTCTCTCGCACTGGCACGCGACGCTGAGCAACACTAATCCCCAGAGATTACCAGTTTTCATATGAGTTCCAAGTCACTGCTTGTGCGTTCATTCAGGCATGTCCTTTAACTTAATTTTCCATCGGTGCTTTCGACGCTTGTTCCAGGCTCGTGCTTCTGAGCGTGTTGACCTTGCTGAGCTTGCGCTGTCTCTGAGCAGTCTTCCTCGGGATGAAAATTCGCAATGAAGGCTGTTACATGAGAATCGTAGGTAGCCTTTCTTGGGAAACCTCTTGCGTGGCTTTCTCGTCTTGGCTGAATTTACCTTGTGAGCGCCTGCCTTCTTCCTCCGCCTCAGCTTGGGTTGCATCATTCGCTGCTGTGATTCAGTCTTGGCTTTGGGTATCGGCAGTGATGCAGCCCGCACAGTCCACTTTCTTCTATTCCTCGGTGTCAGCAGTTTTCTTGAAGAGCTACACTCATGAGCCTTCCAGGCAGTAGGCTTCTGTTTCCCCACGGCCTTTTCATTTCGTCTTCTAATTCGCCCTGCTTGTTGCTGTGGCTGTGATTTGATTCCTCCGGTAAGATGCAAGCCTGGCATTGAGGACTGCCTCACAGTGGACATTCCCAACCTCAGTGAGTACTTATTTTTGGTATTTTCTGCAATGTCTCCTAAATTTCCAAAGGCATAATGCCATTCGATCGTAAAAGCCCACACACACCCGAGCAGCCGCTCTCATGTTAAGTTAACGAGCATTGAACGTTGACGTGGGCTCTGAAGGCATCGAATAGGTCTCCAGAAGTTCAGATTGTTCTTCATTGATGGTCCTCTGTGTTGTATTCTCTGTAGTGAAAAAACATTGGTTTCTCTTCTTCCAGCACATTGTTCCATCTGTCGTGGAGTTGAGCCATCGACCTTCGTGTGACAATATCGCAATCGATAAAGCATTGGCTAAATGGTTGCACCACAGGTGAAGAGAGCACTTTCGCTTGCAACTTTGTTCTGATCATTTGGTTTGTCGTCTCCAAGTGAGCCTGCCGAGCCTTTAGCACATCTTCAATTTTCTATTCAGCCTTGACCTTTGAAAGAATAATCTTACTCACATAAACGTTGGCTTCCTCCATTTCGGCTTCTAAGTGGCCGATATCCACCATGTCTTCCATCTGTTTATCAATTCCTTTGAGAAGCTCAAACTGGTCGGTCAAAGCGTGGTGAATATTCCGCAAATCACTTATTTGGGAGCGTTCTAGATGCAGGAGACTTTCGATGCTGGCGATGGCTTTCATGACGGTCTTTCGTACTTCAATACGCCTTTAAATTAGGGCCTCCATAATCAGGCAAAGTGTCGGGAAATGTAGAAAATCACTGGCCGGCCACGCACTGAGGCGAAGTAGGCATCTCCATCTTACCCATCACAAAGCATCGCATGACAAAGCTTCGGGCATCGTCGACATGTCACGCTCCATGGTCTAGGTCACGGGCAGGGTTAGGCCTCGCACATAAGCTTCAACCAACGGCGGCTTCACAAAAGTCCCCGAGGCTGCGACTGCGGTCTAAATTCGTGAAGGCCACTCCGTCTCATCTCTGAAGGTCCTTCCTCCCGGATTTCACGGCACCAAAATGATGAGGAAAGGAACTAGCCGCTGTGCCCATGGCAAAGCCCACCCATTTACATCTTCTTTATTCCGAACAGTGATCTAATTCTAATGATGATAGTGGCCTCTTTGTCGTTCACACAATATTTAACGCTATTTAGGAATGGTTTAGAGATGATTTCAGCTCGTTTTTAGCCCTAACAACGAATATTTTTGTAATCAGGAGCTGCTTTCTTCAAATGTGCATTATAATGTACACTCGGTCTCAATGCGTGCATTTGCCTTCTCACGTTTACCAATCTGATGCAGTTTGTGTTAAGCTCTTTGCTGTTTGTTTGGTGTTAGGCTTAGACATTTGTTTCATCTATAATAGTATGTAATAAAAAAGCGGAATGTCTTCTTGAGACAAGAACCGGAGTTGAAATTGTTGGACGACTAGGCTATGCCTTGACCATTTCCTAGAACCGAAAGACAGGTGCAGCACTGAATTTGGCAGTGAGCCACCGCGGAAACTGCTGAAAGCAAAGATGCCAAAAACTGTGCAAGTAAGCCACCTGCTACAACTCGTGAACCAAAATCTAGGATGTTCTCTACAAACAAAGCTTTGCTGCACCACGTGTGACATCTTCCTTTGCATCACATCTGCCTGATACTGCTAAAAAGTTTCACAACACATAAAAGTGCTTTTGAGGGCAAAGGCTAAATTTTGCTTCAAGGTGACCATTGTTCGTTTCTTACGCATTGAGGCCCATTGTGCGTTATAATGTACACACTGTTGTGCAAAAGCTGTTTGTCATACAGTCACAATTTTTTACAGGTAATATATGATATGTGTGCGCATTTCAAAATTGAGTGTTAGTTGCACCTGTATCGCAACAATTTCGCACAGGGCATAAGAGGTGTGTGTGTGTGTGTGTGTCTGTGTGTGTGTGTGTGCCTGTGTGTGTGTGTGTGTGTGTATGTGTATGTATGTGTGTGTGTGTGTGTGTGTGTGTGTGTTTGTGTGTGTGTGTGTGTGTGTGTGTGTGTGTGTGTGTGTGTGTGTGTGTGTGTGTGTGTGTGTGTGTGTGTGTGTGTGTGTGTGTGTGTGTGTGTGTGTGTGTGTGCGCACACATGTGAAATGAAAAATTTTTGGTAGGAAAGATTGCAGCAGCTTAATTTGAGACTAGGTAACACTACAACTTGTGCAGAAAACAATCACGTGCGAGAAATACACCCACACACGTAACGCATTTCCTAAAGCACTTGCCTATATAAACGAAACTGTACTCCATGCTTAGAGCAGTTTCAATTTTGATAACAGTGCACACACGCAGAATAGTGGGGCACTCACTGAAGAGAATTAAATCGTCACAAGCGAATTGATCAGAACAAACTACTGCACTGTCCGTCACCTTCTTTCCATACGTAAGTTTCTGATTTGGCTGTTCTCCGTCGAGCATCATCTGCATTCTTCGAGAAGTGATAGAAGAATACGTTGCCATCTTTTCGCCACGATGCCATGTGTTGTGGCACACAGCGATGGTCTTTGCACATCACTTCCTTCTTTCTTGGGTTCATGCATGCGGCTTGGCGAAAATAAAGGAACTATGTGGCTGCTTCTCAATGCACGCAACGTGGCAACCTATCTCCTTTCAAGGTTAACACTGTTAGCTTTGTTTCTAGGTGCAGCCGCTACGTGGCCAGCGCTGAACTGGAGTCGCTAATATGGACACATACCTCCTTTCTGCGTGACCATCCCCCACATGTCCCTCCAGCTGATGACGTGAGACTTCTTACTTCCTAGTCGCTTCAGCAGGTCTCTCGCTGGCTGCTTCATTTGGAAAGTACCTTCGTCCTGAGTGAACAGATATTCACACCAAGTTTACAACAGACAACAAAAAAGGCTCTATTACATCAAGTAGCCAAAAAATACAAGCACACAAGAAAGTACGGCGGTGAAGGAGCAAGGAAGTCATCAGTTGGGCTATATCTTGGTGTGGGGAAGTGCACAGGCTGCGCGCGAGCTGTGAACGGGCCCGTTCGACTGTTTCTGGCTCTACGGTCGTCCGCCTGCTACCAGGTGTTGTTAATAAACCCCCTTTCAAAGGGAAAATGTACAGGAAATGAGACATTGAACAAGTTGTTATTTTTTGGTTACAGTGTGATGCTTTGATCTTTGATAAATAGGCATGGATTCCAAGAATAAAATTTACTTTGAAGTCAGCGCTCGTCCCGTACGCATCTTCCTGCCTTATGTCTTCGTATTTTCGAGTTACCTGATCTACTGCGCATTCTTGCAAACCCGCCCAAATTTTCATTGTTGTAAGAAGAGCCAGACCCGCAAAGGATTACACATACAGCCACAGGAGAACCTGAAGCGGTGGCTTTTCAAGAGGCAACTGCAAGCTCACATTGAAGCAAACACTGTAAGTACATTTTTAAGGTACCTGCTATGCCACTAATAATGATAATTTTGCGAAGTAGGAAAGTGCATACCCATTACGCCTTAAACCTTCATTCAGCAGAGTGGCAAAGTATTCCCTATACATCTGTAAGACACTGTAATTGCTTGCATAGCTGAACACCTTTTTAATGTTGTGGCTGATCGAGAATTATCACTGAGCTCTTGCAATGGGTGGGAAGTTTCGACTGCTCAGCCGTTATGAAGTTCATGTGTGAGTTAGTTTTCTCTTCTTCCGTGCCATGTAACATCTGTTAGAGTGACTCGTTTCCCGAAATGATGCCTGTATAGAATATTTTTCTTAAGGTTCAAACTGGTAGGATGCTTGGCTGTCCCACACAGTGCCTGGGTTGTATTCAACTTGTAATCAGACATCACAATTAGTGTTATGCCAGAGGCATATACTAATCTTGTTCAGTATGACCTAAAAGAAAGTTAACCAACTAATAATGAAAGTTCGGCCAGTGCATCGTTAACAATGCTTAGGTGTGTGGTTGCCAAGCATTTATTAGATAACCTTCAACGATGTACAAAAGAAAAAGGATCAGCAAGCATAAAAGCAAATTCTTTTACAAAACACTTCTCAATTTTCAGCAGAAATATACAGCTGACTAACATTGTGGGGCCTGAAAAAAGGCGAGAATGTGCCGTTATGTCAGAGACAGCACAAGGCTTAATTAACACTATGTTGTCAACTTCAACACTGAAAAGATTAGTGGCCATTGAAATGGCTTGAAGCCATTGATAAAACATTTGCAATGCATGCACTTTGCCTTCCATGGAGCCACTCCAAACAGAAGCCTCACACACACAGCTTAGTCTCATCTCTGTCTTGTGGACAGCAGACTCACTTTGATAGTGAAGATGAGCACCCGTCCATCAGAGACCATGTTGAGAAAGAGAGCCATTGCTTCATCTTCATGAGGTGAGTATGTGTCAAACATTCGTTGTGCCATGACACTTCCCTGAAGTGGCAAAGTCATAGTCAGAGATTAAAGACAGAGTCAACAAGATTTCGCTAATAAAGTTATCTTACAGAAATAGGAATCATAAATTGCATGTAAAATACCTTCATACATATTTTTTAGTAAATGAGAAGTCAACATGCCATTGCAGTGTGATCCAAAAGATGCAAAACTTGTTAAAATTTTCTTCAGAAGAGAACTTTCAAAGTATACTAATACAATCGGGCTGACAGCATGTTTTTGTTTGTATCTATTGAACGCTTAGTTCATACAACTTTGTGCATGACATTTTCAATAGAACTGCTGGATCAGTTAAAAGCTTGTGTGAAGGAACTTATTTTGAAGCAAGCTCTGTTCAATGCTAGGTTTTGGCAGTCGTTAATTTGGAAAACTGGACAATTAAGACGTGTTCACCGGTACTGGCCAGCATGTGCATTGTTTAGTGGCATCAAACTATCATTAAATTATGCTTATTGGGCCACAACATGGTTGATCTGGACGATCCTAGAAATGCACGAGAGCAAAGCGGCACAAATGTGTGATGCAAAAGAATGAACACAGCGTTCGTGGACTCACAGGCTCTCAGAAGAGGCATAGTAGCCATGCACAATCATGTTTTTGGCACATAATAAATTATTGGGTCACACCTTACTTAGGATTAAGACACAGAGCTATGAGTTGTCTTCATGCTGTCAACGAAGTAGCTAACGTCAAAAATTACAGTTTTTACACAGGCGTTATGCAAAACAGTTACAGCATTTACATATTCTAAAAAAAAACAAAGTGCATTGATGTAATAACATTGAATTTATGCTTTTCTTGATACTTTCGATGATTCAGTATTCGGTAACATTGGTAATTTTTCCAGTTCCATGAAGAGCGAATTAACCAGCTTTTGCTCTATAACACAGCAGTTATTGGCAGTATAAGGTCTGACGTCGGTGCCATCATTGTCGATGACTCCCAAAACACACACATATTAGTGCACTGAAATAATGGCACCATTTATCTAGCTACAGTGACACCGTTTTCCTCTGTAGACAAAACAGATGAACAAGAATGTTCTAGTTGCAGAAGATTTCAATATTTTAGGGCCATCACTGCAGACTGCAATCACTGAGAAATAATTGCAGACTAAAATTAGTTATTGCTGCAAGAATGACTCGGATTAAACTGAACTCACTCAGAAGTACTATCAATAGTAAATGCCAAGTTCAATGAAGCCAGCAGTTCAGCAAGAATAGTTGTGTATATAATATATGGCACATTAACTTGCACGACAGTCAGCTTTTACTATCTTGCACATTGTTCTAGAGTTCGTTCATTTATTAAGATATCGCAACACAGAAAAAATTTTCACCTTACACCGGGGGGAGCGAGAGAGAGATAGAGAAAAAAAGTTCTTTATTTAGCAAAGTGCACGTCGTTCATGAAGTTGTGACTTACCGTTGCTTGATTGAGGACGAGGACGTGGATGCCACGACCCTTGTTGTCTTCTGAGTCATCCAGAATCTTGAAAAAGTAAAGAAGAACGGAATCGGATGAGCCACAAAAAGCAGCAATAACATAGAGCTCCAACTTTCGTGCCCCAAACAAACAAATTATACATCACAAGACTAGACACTCACATGTGTTGCATGCTGTACAAATCTCATAGAGCTAGTTAAGATGTGACAATGATCACATGAGCAAAACAGCGCAATAAGCATGAAGCCATAGGTATCCTTGTCATGCCTATGCTTGTTTTCTACTCCAGCTGTAGTGAACAACTTAAGTCTTTACTGCCAGAGAATGCAAATGGCAGAAATTATAATAAAGACTGCACAACGGAAAGTTGAACAGCTGTCATAAAACTTGAAATAATAAATTGATAAATCAAGCAATCACCTATGTCATCAATTTTCACAACCACTAAAGTACTGCGAATTCAGTTTATTGAACAATGCATTTAGAGAGAGAGAGAGAAAAAAAAAATAGAGATAATCAATGTTGAAAAAATTATCTGAGCTTTCACACATAGAAGATGATAAAGCATAAACAAAATCAAAGCAAGCACAGAATATAAAATGTAATATAGTAGATTGAACGACGTGTTAACAAAAGAAGCTTGAGCTTTTTAGTGAGCGAAATTCAGACTTGCATATCCACTTTTATGAAATTTTTGTTCAAGCATGCTTATTGTGGTGTTAGTTGACATATTTAGAACTCCTGAGCGAGTTCCTGCGACGTAGCTGTACCTACCGTCGTTCCGTCGACAGTGACGGACACCTTGGACTGGCTCGAGACGACTTCGATTGTGAGTGTCTTGGGCAGGCTGTCTTGTAGGTGCAGAGCATTGTGCCGGCCTTCCTGGGACGGCGAGTCCTCTTGGAGCTTTCGGCTGGTGTCCATGATGAACATCACGTTGATCACCACAGTGACAGAGAGGATTGCCAGCAACAGGTACTGCATGAAAAAGAATGCAAGAGCAGAAGCTTCCAGCGAGTGTAATGACAGAGAGAGTGAGAAGAAGAAGAAAGGCAGGGAGGTTAACCACGGCTGAGCCCAGTAGGCTACCCTGCACTTCGAAGGAAAGTTATGGTGGAGGAGAGAAAATTCACTGATTGGGTCGACACGTAACAAATTCATGTTTGACATCACGAATGGCGAATTAGACCGGTGTCCTTGAGAAAGCGCACCAGCGCTCTCGCTGCCTTTCGAAACTGTGATGGGCAGCGCCATGGTCCAAATACCTTCTAGGCAGAGAAATCCCTTCCGTCCAGTTGATGTAGAACAGTGTGAAGGCAAAGCCTCTCGTCTGCATATGTTGGGCAGTAACACAAAAGGTGTTCAATAGTGTCATCGATGGAACAGTCTGTTCAGCAAGCCAGAAGCAGCTTATTGATGCTTTTGGCTGTCAACTTTTGTTATCGCTCTTCTATGTTGGCATTTGTGAATGCATTTCATTTCATGATTAAACAAAACAGTTCAACTGTGCCTGCCCACAGAAGCACTTCAGTGTCTTTCATTCTCCTCCTTCTCTTTGGGGCAATCATCATCATCATCAGCCTGACTTCGTCCACTGCAGGACAAAGGCCTCTCCCTTTGGGGCAATACAACACATCAAATAATGAAATAATGACATGAAAATCTATGGTAATGAGCTGATAATAAAGACCTGCATTCTATATTATCCCCTTTCATATGTATCACTTTTAGTGTACCTATTTCGTCTATGTCAGGAAATGAGAATGCCCTAAAGTGACTGCTAGATCTTTCACCTAAATTGACTTCATTTTCATGTTGCACTGTAAAAAAGAGAGTATGCGGGATGCTAATGAATTAGGTGAGGCACTGCTGCAGCGCTACCCTAATGGGAAATTATCTCACCTAAAGTGACTGAAGAATGAGCCTCACGCAAGTATACAAGTGCTTGGCATGTTTAAGCTAAAATAATGCGGTTTCTGCGCCTTTAACCAGCAGTTTTGTGTGCAAACTTCTGCTTATCATACGTGTGACCTTGCTAAAAACAATGTATTGCTAAATTAATTTAGATATTCATGGCTTATGGCTTCAAAAGCTGTGCTTCTCTAGTATGCACTTGCGGACAAAGTAAAAGAATACCGTACATGTTGCGCAAAATTTTCAAGCACATTTTCCCGCACAATTCAAAGGCAAGGCAGTGAAACATTATTCAAAAAACAAACCAGTAGCAGAAGCATTCTCTTGGCCTAGTTCATGCTTGCTAATAATCACGATGCAACACAAAGACATGTAACAACACATAACAAAGCACCTGTGTTCGGTGTTTATGTGCCCTTGTTATGCGTCTTTGGGTGACACCATGGCTATTAGAAACCTGTGGCAGCAGGGCGTGGTCACCTGGTAGGCATGATTCAAGTGCACGTGGGTGGTACGCCGCTGGGATTGAATCCGCGGCCTTCGGGTGCGCATCCTAGCGCCATAACCACTGCTCCGTCACGGCGTACGGACCAGAAACACAAGGCGACAAGCACGTTAAAAAACTAGTCTGTGTTCTGTGTTTGTGTTCTGTGTTTCATTTATTCGTTTGAAACCGACAAATTTGCAGTTCGCACGGGTGGTGGTGGAAACTCGGTAGTATTTAGGCGTTTTATAAGCCGAATACAAACCGGTTTCTCAAAGCTTTCTTCGCCGCATCACAGATAAGCTGTGCGGTGAAGAAAGTGTACTGCAGTGAAGCATATATGTTGGAAAGTAAATTGTGATTCACCAAAGACCTCCTACCCAACTATCAAACGCAAAAAGTAAAAAAAAAAAACAAAAAAACGAAGGCGGATGTGGGGTGGTGGGGCACCGCTTCCTGCAATCAGTTCAGGGAGTTGCCAAAGGTTAAGCCACGCATATACCCAAAGCTTTTCCGTCATTGCTTAAAGATGCACTAAAGAGAAACAACAAATATATTTATACTGATAAATGATAATTTTAAAACATTGTTTTCGTTATTTTCACCGTCGTAGCTTTATAAACCAAGTAGAAAATCAAGGTCAGAGCTTCATTCTTTTTTTTTTAATTTCGTGCTGAAATATTCAAACGCGGCATCGCGGATTACAAATCGTCTTTTTTTTTTCCTCTCGTATTTTGGCAATATTGGTTCCACGAAATATCCTTAAAATCGGTACGCTATATATATATAATAGGCCCTAATGCTAAAAACGTTTCATTTTCTACCTGCCCCACCGCAATGCTGCGCACCAAGGACAGTCCGCTGTGAGAAGGACGCCACTGCTTTATTTTTCTTTAGAATGCATCCATTGGGACTCCATCTCTTTCGCACACGACAAATCGGGAGGAAGATTAAGAGGAAGGGGTGTTGCGGCAAAACTTCGCCGAGCTCAACGGCAAACCCTGCGCACGCCTACGATCAAGAGGTAGACTGCTGATCGCACTAACGTGGCGTGAACAATCTCTAAAGAGTCGTTTTTTTTTTCTTGTGAATATATTAGAGATAACCTATAGCCCTTGGTACCACAGACAATCTCTCGTTTCGCGCCGTTGCCATCCACAAAACAGCTTCCCAGTCCGCCAATCTTTCACGTGCACGTCGTATCTCCTCTGTCTCTCTCTCCTCTCACACACACCACACACACACACACAACACACACACCACACACACAACACCACACACACACACACACACACACACACACACACACAACACACACACACACACACACACACACACACCACACACACACACACAACACACACACACACACACACACACACGCACGCAGAGAGAGAGAGAGAGAGAGAGAGAGAAAAAGAGAGAGAGAGAGAGAAGACAGACAACCCAGTGCGCCGATGCCGAGAAAGGAAGCAACAAACACCCTTCCACGCGAGCGTGGATCAGTGTCCCTCCGCACGAGAGGCCACCCCTACGGAGGCTCGTCTTGAATATCCGAAACAGGATATACGCCCGCCTGCGGAACAACTTCCCAACTCGATGTGCCCGCGCTCAGCTGCGTCTGATTAATTGAATGTCAGCGAACGTGCCCGCGCACTCTTCCTCTCTCACCTCCACGTCACGGGGAAACAAACAAACAAAAAAGGCGCCCGCAAAAGTTTGCTTGTGAGACGCACGTGCATCGACAGCAGTCTTCCTAAAGCGCGGCAGACAATGCCTCGACCTGAAAGCTTCCAAACAGTAGAAAAAAGAAAAGAATTCAGATTAACTGCTTACGATTGGAATAAACGACAATGCGAAGCTTTAGCAAATCACGTTTCAACATTCAGTTAGAGCAATTGTATCCATGACAATGCCATTGCGGAAATTGCAGGCAAAGGCACACGCACAAAAACAATATTATATTCAAATGGATACCTGTTCTGCAATTTCTGTTCAATTAGATGAACGAAACAAAAAGATGACCACGTTAGATTTACTTTATTCCTTTCTTGGCTTAAGGTTCCGAATCCGTTTACTAAGCCTCTTTTTAATACAACTTCACATGCAGGTGTTAACCACCAAGTGGGTTATAATCACCCAATTTTATCTGAAGGCCTGACAGCTGACTCGCTCAGCATTAATTGCCCCTTATTTCATGTTCTCTCACTTAACCCAACCGTCCTGCTTCCCTAGCGTTTATACGCTAAAGATCATGCCGCCTAGTTCTTAGCCCACCCCTTTTGTTGATGAGCAATGCACTGACGACTTCAACAAAAGTCATTCAGCGAAAGTCATTCTGTTGGCAGTCAGTGCATCGTACCGTCGTCTTTCTTAGTCCGTATCGCCAATAGTTTTCACGATGGTAGGGTATCGCCGGACAGGTAATGCATAAGCAACGAGAAGACAGGACATGCACTGTCCTGTCTTCCTTTGCTGTCCTGGCGTTGCCCTACCGCAATTATGAACCCAAACCAACTCGCTCATCTACCCGTTTATCCTATCGAACGCCTTTGCTCAGCAGGAAAACATGGCGCCACCTTTTATACCCCTTGTGTGAGCCGCGGAAGGACGGAGAAATGGAGGATGCGTGCCGGACAAAACGCAGGCGAATCGCGTAACGAAACGAAAACGAAAGAGAGATTGAAAGTGAGTGAATGTTGAAGAGGAAAGGAACACGGCATGCAAGACGTGCACAGATAACATGGTGACATGGCAGACGAGGGGACAGATCGTCCCCTTGTCTGCCAATGTCACCAAATCGCACCTACGATACGAGCTGCCGGTAGAGAGGGTGAGAAAGAGAAATAGAGCGTATGTGGAAAAAAAGAAAGATATAAGCGGAGAGAAGGGTGGAGAGAGAAAAAAATGATAGAGTATAGGAAAGTAAATAGGAAGAGAGCATAATTGCAAGAAAGAACATATGGAGAGAGAGGAGAAAGAAAGCGCACGTAACCTAAAACAGAAAGAAAAAAATGGGGGAGAGTATAGAAAGGTAGAGAGACAGAATATAAGGAGAAGGAGTGGGCAGAGAGAGAGAGAAAGAGAAAGCTGGCCACGTAACCGCAAACGGTCGCTTCGGGTTTCAGCGCTTTACCCTCCCCCGCCCCCCTCCCTTCCGCGCGGACAGACTACACGGACCCGGGCTTAAAATCATCCAGCCGCGCAGTCTGTCTCCTCGGGACTTACTGTTTTTTTTTTATGTTTCCCATAGCCCATGCGCGGTTTTCACGCTCATGGCTCTCCACCCCGCAACCTAGTAACGACGAACACGGATCCTTCCAGGAATAAAGCGGAAGAAGAAATTCCCCGAGCGGGAAAAACATGGGTGTCACGTTACCTCCCGGCCGTTTCACGCGATTCCTTCCTTTCCTCTCTCGATGGAAAAGATTGCATATGTGAACACATTTTTTTTTTTTTGAAATAGGAAAAAAAAAAACGAAGGAGTTTTTGTCACAGTTACTTGGCGACGGCTACCCCTTTCCACTTGAATGTTACAAATAAACAAAAGAAAAAGCGAGATCGCCCTAAAAGGTTTTCACCTACGATCGAACCTACGAAGGTCGTAGGTTCGATTCCTGCTCACAGTTGGTAATTTTTTCATCCACTTTTCTTTCTTCCTATTTACATTCCATTGGTTTTAATAACTTCCCCTGTACATTCCTTGGCATTACTGTCTGTTATATCTCATTAATATTGTGTTAAAACACGGAAAACGAGCCCTTAGGTATACACTTCTTTCCCTTATATATATATATCATCCTCCATTTCTCCGTGTATATATATATACACAGTTGGTAAGTTAGTGATTACACCAGCCTTCATCAGAAGGCCGCTACCTGGACCAACCGCAAGGTTAGTAAAGTTGTCTTTCGCACGGTCGGCCGTCTTTCTTATGTGAATTGTGAACAGGATTGACTGAACACCATCTTTTCAAAGTAGTGCAGCCAGACATTTTGTTTCTAAGGGTGGAGGCGGGGATGGGGGAATCCATGCTTGTTCTTATGGGTCTGTGCAAATATAAACATGCAAAAGTATAGAATCGGGAGTTGGGAAAGTTGCTGGATGTTCGTCGTAGCATAACTGACGGCGCAACGGGTTAGACAAAGTGGGTGATGTGTGCGCTTTGGTAGATAGAACGTTCAGTCAGAAGCCAGGGAAAGAAAACAAATGTGCCTCCATCGATGTCCACAGGTATGAGCCTTGCGCTATTGGCGTGGTTTACCCCATTTTACTGTCTTGCGGCCGTGAATACGTACGTAGGCCAAACAGGGCGTTGCCTAAATGTTCGCTTAAGAGAGCATGAGCTGACAATTTCAGGTGCTGCAGTCACGTCCCATGAGGCAGCGAATTGCTGATCATGCGGATGTGTTCCCCACTTGCCGAAAATCACTATCAAATATAGGCATGTTGTTCACCGCACGCGCAGAATAGCCGAAGGTTCTTTTTTTTTCTATTACATCCACTAATAAGTGCATAAACCAGCCATCAGTCACTCTTCTAGATGAAGAAAACTACTATATCTGTTAGACAATACCTAAGTCATGCTGTGTTGTAACACTTGTGCCCATGCGCACAGTTTTGATGAATCTTTTTCAAAAGAAATTTAGTTGTTAGTTGAGCGCTGTGTGCCTTTCTTCTGTCCGTGTCAAACCCGTGGCGCTGTCAATTATTCTACAATGAATAAACGTATAAAAGTGAAACTATTCGGGCAAGGGCGACCCCCCTCTGCCACGCCAGCGTCCTTGCACATATATTGCCAAGCCCCAACTGGTATTCGTTATACGTAAAGACGGATTTCTTTGTGACTTGGAAACAAAAATAAATTGGAAGCGACAAACACGTTGCAGCGAGAGCACGACGAAGCGCCGCTGTTCCAAATCCCATAGAACGCAACATCGCAAACTGGACACTCCGACACTTTCTTTGCGTATTTCACAGCAAGCGGAATTAATCAATTGTGTGAAACGTTTCGAAATCCGGTACGCGAATTCCCTCACACTGACCGATTAATTGGATTTACGAAGTTCAACAGGAATAACTAGAGAGGAGGAAAATCATTCTGTCACGTTAATAAGTTGTCTCTTTACAGGCCCGTACCTAAGAAATTCTTTCAGCGGGAGAGAAAAGAGTGGGGTCCTTCGGGTACCCCCCCTACCCTGGCTATATGGAGCTGTCGCTGTATAATATACGAAGAAATAAAATACAGCACTTGCTTGTTTTCGTTTGTTTGCTTATTTGTTCGTATTCTCATGACGCACTGCCGCTCTGGAGCTTTGGCATATATATTGCGTATCGCGTCATTTCAATGATAACTTAAAGAAAGGTTCATTGTAATGAAGATAAAACAAAAACGTAAGAACGAAATGAGGAAAAAAAGGCAAATAACAGCTGATACATTAAAACATTCCGCAATTTCGAGTAGACCAGACAGCTTTCTTTACCCGACCAGAACAATTTTGAACGATGTAGATGAAGATCCTAAACTTCTCGCTCACACCCACCCTGGGGGAACGAATGTGCAATTCTCCTTTCTTCAGATATTATTATTATTATTATTATTATTATTATTATTATTATTATATTATTATTATTATTATTATTATTATTATTATTATTATTATTATTACAACCGTTGCTATTGTTTTAGTGTAAAAGAGCTAAAGAACGAACTCGGAGAATCTCGACTAAATCAGGCACAAAGCCTCCAAGCGGTTCCATACAGACGAAAAAAAAAAAAGTTCTGGATTATGCACTTTGCTGTGTCATACTATACATCAGATGCTAAAAAAAGAAAGAAAAAGCTAACCGCACGGAATAAGTATGATTGTTAACCACCGGAGATGGCAGAACTCCCGAGAGAGAGAGAGGAAAGAGGAAAACAGAGAGGTTAACAAGATGCCATGATGCGATATGCTATATAGTCTGCACAGGGGTGGGAGAATATGGGATTAGAAAGAAAGATAAAAAAATAAATAAGAATAATACACGGACGCGCGAAAACGTTCCCCTCGTAGTCGATCTGACAAGCCAGTAGTTCACAAGAAACGTTTCGATATAACAGTTAAGATATATCCCGTTACTGATCACTTCTTATAAGCGTCTACAGGTACATCAGAAGCGAACCTGTAGAACACATGCAAGTCTGAAAGGAGGGAAAACAAGATAGAGAGAGAAAGAGAGAGATAAATGTTATGAGAAAAAAAAATGAATCGAGGATGAAATTTCACCTCCAAAAGCTCACGTTGGCAGCAAGAAAGAAGTGAACCGAAGGACGCCAGGTACACAGTGCTTCTTCGTATTTCATTTCGTAGCGCTCATGTATGCAGAGTTTGACATTTTCGCAAATGTTTCAAAACAAAATTAGCGCGTGCGCGCATGCGCTGAACATACGCACGAACATGTACATGCAACCTCGTTTAGTCACGGGGGAGTAAGAAAACCGGGACACAAGATGGATAATCATATCCCACAACTTACGCTTCATATTTTTTTTTTCATAATCTCCGACTTCTCAGCGAAATGCCACTTCCTTGAGGGCCCTGCAACACCTTCCCAAGTAATCGTCTAATGGATTCATTAAAAGAGCTTATTGGCTTACGAATCAACTGTGGCAAACATTTTTACAATCTGTTGAGTACAACGGAGCTACCCCTAATCGTCACACACTTCAAGCGCTTTATATCTCTCCTCGTATCAGCGAACACGCTAAAACCTATGCAAGGAGGGGGGTGGGGGGAAGAAGAGATTAAGAGATGATACGAATGCAAGAACATGCATGCGTCCGTTCGTCAGCGCACGTCATAATCTTCAGTACTTTTATGTTCTCTTTCCTGACGTTTCTAAACAAATTAAATCGGACAAGCCACCGTAACAGCGCTGTCTCGTACACGCAAGCATGATGGACATGTAACTGATATCATGTTTCTGTGTGTTATGTGCTATTTTTCTCTCTTTTCCCACTATTTTCTTTTTCTCTTTCAATCTCCCCTTCTATTCTCACATGTAGGGTAACAAACCGGCTTTCCTGAACTGGCTAACCCATCTGCCTGTCCTTCTCTACTATTTATTCTTTTCTGCTTCTTCGAAACGCGCAGTTTACTTCCAGAGTGATCGCGAGCGCGCGGCGCCATCCCACAGCGGCGTCAGAAACTACACGGTTCTCGGCACTGAAATCAGCCAACGGCTGTGGAACTTGTGGAGCTTGTGGCGCGGCCATTCGAACTTATGACATCATTAAACCAAAAAAAAGGCAACAATTTCTAGCCGACTTTGAGAATTTCCTGTAAACTCCAGGCTGCGTGCTGCGTTATAGTGTTTCGCTCGAGTGTTCTAGGCTCTGATACCGATCGGCCACGTTTTTGAGACCACGCTGAAAACGTGTCGCGAAACCCCGTTTTTAAGATGTAGCCAAGCCCCCAAACCCTTTCATTTTCCACGACTAAAAAAAAGTTAAACAAATTCAGCGCACACGCTGGAATCTGTGACACGAAGCTTGTGTGAGGCAGTTAATTGTAGATTTCCGAGGGTTGTTTTCGATTGGTTGTACGTGTTCAACATGACGGCTGCACGCTGAGACTTCCAGAAGGAGACCTTCAATTTTACTGTCCCTATATAATAAACTTACATTTCTCATCAAGACTGTCGTAGACAGAGAGGGCGGAGGGTACCAACCCGCCTCCAAATTTTCTGTTTCTTTTTAAATGTGTAAATGGACCCCTCAGAGTCCACCGCCTTCACCCACTTCACTTTTTTTTCACTTGTCCCACGAACTAGCTACGGAACGTTTAAATTGGCTCAAACTGAATTGTAACGGACTAGAAACCACAATTCACCTGACATGTTCTGGCGAGGAACCGCCTGTGGCGCACGTGTCGCACGTACAGTCCGGCTCGCAGCAGCGTGGCCCCGGCGAGTCCCGTGCCGCCGGGGCCCGGGCCGGTCGACGACTGCTGGACCGCTGTCATGGCGGTGGACGCTCGGCCGCCGCTCAGGCCGCAGCAGTCGCGGCGGCGGCGACCCGCGGCCCGGCGGGGCGGCGCCCTCCGCTCGGCAGCCGTGGTGTTACCGCCCTCGGGGCAGCAGCCACGCGCGCCATCCGAGTGGCCAATCACGAAGCACGCCGGGGGACGTCGTCAACCTGCGAATAGTTAAGGAACCACCAGTGTAGCAAACACGTAATCCATATCTAGCACACTTCTTTCAAAAAAAAAAACGAATGTGTTTTACGCCGGAGTCCACCAAGAAGTGACTCGCGTCATTTCCGTCACGGAAGTGACGTCAGTAACAGGAAATAAATCATAGTGCGAATGGTATCCCGAAAAATTCAGCTGCGCCTTTTCAGGCTGGAAAATTGTGAGATATTCGAGACCTCCAAGCATATAATACGAATCTGTTACATGGAATCAAAGAACGAATATTAAGCGATGCCTGATTTCTTCCGCTGTGGATAATAAAGAAGGCACGGTGCGGCACACAATGCAAGCAGCACAGTATGGGTATAAGCGAACTTCAGGGATAACTCGAGAGCACCAAAGTGTTCGCCGCACAGGAACCTGGGGCACCTCCACAAGGGCAAACAAGCTGTTTACCCGTGACCTCACCGATGCGCCACAGAAACCCATCGAGCACCATTATATCCAGTAGTCCAATCTAGTGCCGAAAAAAAAAGGCTCTGTTTTAACTGTGAAGGTACTGGATCGAGGCTGGTTTTTGCAGTGAAATGGCTTTTAATTAACTATTCAGTTGGTGATTCAGCGCTACCAAGTTCAGTCTTTATACAAATACTGCTAATAATAATCGTTGTGCTTTAACATCCCAAAACCACGATATGATTATGAGAGACGCCGTAGTGAAGGGCTCCGGAAATTGACACCACCTGAGGTCCGTTCACATGCACCTTAACCTAAATATACAGGCATTAAGTATTTCGGCTCCATCGAAAATACAGCCGCCTTGGCTGGGATTCGATCCCGCGACCTGCCGGTCGGCAGCCAAGTGCCTTAGCTTGTAGACCAAAGTATCTGATTAATACAACACTGCTGAAACTTACACTTGTGATTACGCACATTTGCGGGGGTTGCATTTCCGATGGAGGCGGAAATGTTGTACGCCCGTGTGCTAATATTTGGGTGCACGTTAAAGAACCCCAGGTGGTCAAAATTTCCGGAGCCCTCCACTACGGCGTCTCTCATAATCATATGGTGGTTTTGGGACGTTAAACCCCACATATCATTCAATCACATTTACCAATACGCATAATAAAAAGTTGCACCGCCCGTCGTAAAACAGGTGGTCAGCTACGGATACTAGAAACTGGCAAAAAGAACACTCAAAATTCGATTAGCACGAATTAAGTTTGCAAACTACAGTGTGTTCTTAATACTGATCTAAACATCCACAGTAGAGGTTAAGGCACTACATGAAGCAGATATGACGAAAAAAAAAATGGAGAAGTCGGCGTCACGCGTTTCAGCCATACGTTGCTATCGCGGAAAAAATTTTTCCTTCTCTGCACATCGTGCAGCGGCCGCCCGCACACCAATCACATTGAATTATCATGAACAAAGCGAGAAAAAACTAACAGAAAGGAATATTACTGTGACGTGGTCGTGAAGTTGAATTCAGTAGACGGCGTGTTCAACACCAAGCTTAATTCTCATTTGGGCGACATTTGGCCCAGAAAATGAAAAAAAAAACGTGCAAGCGATTAATTAACACTGTAAATTGATAATGACCATCGAGTAACCTAAACCGCGGCAGGTGAGTCGGCATTTATACATTCCAACCCACGACATGCCGGTGAACATGCAGTCGAGCGCCATGACCATCAGACCACCGTGGCGCGTAAGTACGTCTTGCAAACAAACAAACAAAAAGTCAGTACGCTCACTCTCATCACCCCGAACAAATCTTGGCCTATAGGCCACCCATTCAACTCACAATCACGGAGGAGCTCCAAGACAGACGAGCAACACAAATCCAGGTGGAACCGAACTTTCAACGCCGGCCTCCGTGGTGCACTATAGTGTATTCCGAAGTATGAAACGACTGACGATCCCCTCGTATTGAAGCATCACGCAACGGCTGAGTTGGCTGAGCACTGTCCCTGCATTGTTCAACGCGATTCCTTCCACGGAACCACGGCACGGGCCCCTACGCGCGAACCACGGTAAGGGCACTACTGCTGTCCGTGAAAACCTCAGTGGCCGCTCGAGCGGCGAAGAAGAGCTATGCTCCCCATGAACGACCTTCGCCTATCATGGACGGCAAGATGCCGCGGCCCCTCAGAGGGAAAGAAGAGTTTTTAAAGAAATAAACACTCAAAACACCCGTAGGCGAGAGCAGCATAGCGGAGTGGGCAGCGAGAAGGGCAGCTCGGTGGTTTACCTGCACCCCCCGCCCCCTTCCCGCTGCCATGACCACTGGCGTCCCAACGGAACGCTCCCGACCACCGGGCAGGTAAAAAAAAGCGTGCCCAGCTGCCCACCAGGAGCAGCCCGCTTGGTACCGCCGCACTCAGAAGCCGGAGAGGCGGCATGCATGGCCGCAGGGTGCGCGCTGCTTCGAAAACCGCAAGAGGGCTTCCTCGCATTTTTTATTACTTTTTGGGGACCGAACCGGCCCAGGCGCCCCCGCAGTGCCCGGCGGAGTACCAAAAAGGCTTCTCTATTCACGGCAACCTCCTCTCCCTCTACGGCGCCCCCGCAGTGCCCGGCGGAGTACCAAAAAGGCTTCTCTATTCACGGCAACCTCCTCTCCCTCTACGGCGGCAGCGAGCGCGAACACGGAGAGACAGGGGGAAGTGAAAGTAATTCGGTGTAAACGCTTTTGTGAAAGGCGACCTGAAAGGTATGCGTATACACTGGAGTTTCTGCAAAATATACGCGGTAACCTTTTGGCAGAGGCGACAAGATTCCTCCTAAAACGTCTATTACATTACCAACTACATCTTTTGGGAATTTTTAACAATTTAATCGAATTACGTTATAAGTTACCACCCTGTGACGATAACATGATGTCAACTTTAGATGCTGTCACGGGGTCGTGACGCTGACGAAGGCATAAACTGGCGTGTCCCCGATGAAAATATTTGGCAAACCTCGTGGCTGGGAAACAAACTCAAACTACAGAAAGAAATGCACGGCTGTACACTGACATCGGCGATGAGAGCGTGGCAATATGAATCCATGACGCCGACATGACGTCGGATGATGTAATCACGTGACATTGCTCGTTCAAAGACGGGGAACGACGGAGGCGCCACAAATCGCGTGAAGTGCGCTGAAAATCGAAAATACGTTGCTGAGCGAGTCGGTGCATTGTCCAAAAATAAAGCAAAGCGCAAAAAGACCGAGGCACTCACAACCAATTGAAAAAAATTGAATCTATATATATATATATATATATATATATATATATATATATATATATATATATATATATATATATATATATATATAGAGAGAGAGAGAGAGAGAGAGAGAGGAGAGAGAGAGACTAATTTACTGATATGTGGGGTTTAACGTCCCAAAACCACCATATGATTATGAGAGACGCCGTAGTGGAGGGCTCCGGAAATTTCGACCACCTGGGGTTCTAATTAACGTGCACCCAAATGCGAGTACACGGGCTTACAACATTTCCGCCTCCGTCGGAAATGCAGCCGCCGCAGCCGGGATTCGATATTGCGACCTGTGGGTCAGCAGCCGAGTACCTTAGCCACTAGACCACGGCGGCGGGGCTATGAAGAGACTTAGAAACAGAAGATAGCTTGCGTTTTCTAGTCGTCTTTGGCAAATGCAAATATAACCATGTGATTTTTAATGCACTGCTGAGTTAATTTCTTTTTATTAAAACGGTAAGCCATTTTCTCTGCACAATCTTACTCATTTCTACGGTCACTGTTTATTAAATTGAATTAGACTGTAGTCAAGTAGGACAGGGAGAACTATCATTTGTCGACGCGCGTGGAAAACAGCGAGCGCATGCAGCATCCCTTTGCACGAACAACACTTCGCTGGCGGAAGAGCCTGCGATACACTTGACCACACATGCTGCAAAGGTTCTCACGATTCCGACTCACGTAGACGGCAATCAGCTCTTTTTCCGCTAGAGTATTTTCGACACAAGCGGCTGCAATTCTTCATAAATCCTTTCACAGCACCGTTATACCAATGAGAAGGGAGGACATCACATTTCCTGGTTCCCTGCTCACTGTCGATATTGCCGTTAATTTGACTTGGTGTAATCCCTATTAGCGGTCTCGCTGTCTGGCGCAAGATTTCACGCACCGCGCTTGTTCAGAAGCCTCAGCTCTTCTCGTGTATTGTACCCCTACAGATCCGTTAGCCACGTTCCACGAGATTACCTCGCATTGCAGATTAAGCCGGACGGCCTTTCTTCCCCATAGCCCTAATGTTGAATAGGGCGCAGTCGGTCACGTTTTTTTTTGTTTTATTTTTTTTTTACAGAGACCTCACAGGTTCCCGAGTAGGAGTATTGCGTGAGGGAGGGCTAGAATGTCCATAAACAGAGGTAGGTATCTCGCGAAAAAGGTACATCCTTAAACAGTAGTTAATGGCATGAACACTTGAGGCCGGAGATATTGCAAGTATAAGGCAGTCTATGTTTACAGTAATGTAGAACAATATGATGACAAATGCACATAGGTATCAAATAAAAGGACATAGCAACTTGGCATTAAAATGTACCTAGAACACAAAGTGGCTCAGTTCGCTTCTGAATACTATCGGATTAAGGATGTTAAGAATGGAATCTGGAAGTTCGTTCCAGAGTATTATCGCGCTAGGACAAGGCTGATGAATTGAAGGCGTTAGTGCGGCTAGGAAGGCGTTACATTATTGCAGACGCGAACGTATCCCAACCCGAAAGTATCGATATTGACCTCCGCAGTCCTGCTTTAAATGCGGAAACGAGTCCTACTCACTGGATCATATGCTCTGGCTGTGTCCATTCAACGTGAGCTCCGGTCTGCCCAATCAAATAAAGTGGAACGGAGCTCTTCGCAGTTCGGACATCACTCTTCAACCAAAGGCTAGCCGGACGGCCCGAGCCGGCACCTTGAGTCACCGCCTCCCGGTTCCGGCTGGGTGAAGCCGCCAATTAATGGGAGCCCTA